TCTCCTCCTCTCTTGGGGCTGGAAAGGACAGCAGGCCGGCTGCCTGGACCCCTGGGGCTTGGGCCGAGCTGGGGCCGCAGGGATTCAGGTGCAGCTGCCTCCCTGGTGGCTGCCCGGCCCCGCCTGTGGCGTGATGGGGCCCCTGCCCTTCTCATCCCGGCCCCGCTCTCCTGAGAATCTCTTCTGCCCAAGGGAAGCGAGGGCCAGACTGCGGAGATGGCGGGGGGTCGGCCAGGCCCTTCCCCACGCCCCCTCGGTTCCGTCCGGCAGAAGCAGCACCTGTCCCTGCCTGCGTCCCGATGCCCACTGGGGGTCCTACAGCCCAGTTCCGTCCTGATCCTGACAGCCTGGGGGGAGCACAGATACCACCAGGTCAACAGCTTGGCCCCCTGCGGATGCCACCTGTGGCTCTGTCCCGCTCGGTGAGATTCAGGGGTTCCCGTAACGCCCCCTCCCGGGTCTGCTGATTCACTGGAGCAACTCACAGGACGCAGGAAAGTGCCCCACTTGGGACTCCAGCTGGATTAGAAAGGACGCAGAGGAGGGGCAGCCCTCTCCCCAGAGGACCCGGCGGGCCGCTCTCCCCGCACACGGACATGCTCACCCAACAACCCCAGGCTCCCCCGAGCCCCGTGTCCAGAGTTGTCACGTGGGCTTCACGACTTGAACTCCGCCTCCAGTCCTCCCCCCTTCCCTGGAGGTCAGGCTGGCCCACGTCCCAACCTCTGATCACGTGGTGGTCTTTCTGGTGAGCAGCCCATCCTGAGCTCTCCGGGGCCCCACTAGGAGCTGGATTATCACACAGGAAATTCCACGGTTTGGGTAGCTCTTCACATGTCCTTAACTTCATTCCACCAGAACTGCTCTCTCTTCCTCTCTCTCTCCCTCTTTAACTGTCCCTTCTCTGAACTCCCGGTGGGGTTTCTCTCCAGCCCCTGCGCATGGCGTTCAGATTCTGTTTTGTACTGGCGTGAGCTCTGCACGTCTCACGGCACCCCGTCCGTTCCCTGAGTCGCTGGAGGCCAGAAGCCTTGCCTGACGGATCCTCGTGTTTCCCGTGGCACCTCACAGGGAGCGCGTCACACAGAAGCCGCTCCGTCTGGCCTAGATGAGTCAGGGCACCCTTGTCCTCCTGCCAGCGGTCGGTTAATGAAGCCAGGCTAGCAGGTCCTGACACACAGAGCAGGTGCGCGCACTTCAGCCCCGCCCCGTCCCCACTCCCGGCCTCCCGGGCAGGCCCGGCTCCAGGGCGCCCCCTTCAGGAGGCTCTCCCGGCCCCTGCGCAGCTTCAGGACAGCCCCGGTTTTAGAAAGCGAGCGGAACCTGCCTGGTGTGTCTTGCCTGTGAATACGATGTCCTCCAAGTCAGGGCCCCGGGGTGTTTGGGGCATCTTAGTCCAACAGGGGATCACGACAAACGTCTGTTGCTTGAAAGGAGTCCATTCAGGTCAGTAATGACGTGCTGTGTGCCAGTGTGCCCGGCAGTGACCCCAGAGTGGACGAGACGGAGTAAGTCAAACACCCGAGCAGCTGGGAGGAGGCTGCAGAACTGTGGGCGCCCCAGCTGCGTCTAGCGGGGGCCTTGTGCACGGCTGGCCCGTGGTTAACTGTCCGGGTAAGTTTGTAAGCGAAGAGTGAATCAGTTAACTGTTGCATCTTCTGATCTCCAACAGATTACAACAGCAGTGAACTGAAAACAGCCTGCAGGAAGCACGAGCTCTACGTGAGCTTCCAGGACCTGGGCTGGCAGGTGAGTGCTCTGGACAGCAAGGGGGACGAGGCCCTCTCTCGGCAGCCTCTTCTCATCTTAGAGGCAGCAGCCATCCTCAGAGACCTTGAACTTGAGGGCTGAGAAGGTTCCTCCTGTGAAGGTCTTAGGGGCCCTTCCAGATGCCCAGGTCTTGGAGTGGGGTGGCAAAGGGCCCGCCCACCCGGGCAGGAAGCCCCCCGGCTCCTTTCCAGGTGCGCAGGCGCCCTGTCCCTCCACATCAGCAGCCCATTTCCCAGTGCTCTTCTCTCATTCTCTCAGGGTCCACAGGGCCTGTATTGCTTTGGGCATTTAAACAGGAGTTCACTGTGCTTTGAGAAGGGGCTGGAAGAGCATCTAACAGTTAACTTCTCCAAGGGCCACATGCCAGTTCGCCCAGACTAGAAGCGCACCAATGCTCTGCCTCCCTCCCGAAGGCCACTGCTAGTTAATAAGAGAAGACGCAAATTCTAGGCTTCCAGTGATGGAAGATCGTTCCCATGTGCGGTGGCATTGCGGTGACGGAGTACCCGGGCTCCTGGAGAGGCTCCTTTGGTCCAAGTTCATGGAGCCAGCCACCTGCAGGCCTCCAGGCCTAGGCGGGCCAGGAGCAGGTCAGGGCCTTGTGGGCCTGTGGAAGGAGCGAGGGCTCCAGAGTCTGACTGACCGGGTTCACAGCCTCGCTTTGCCCCTCGAGTGTGACCTCGACCTGCTGTGTCTGTCTCCTTAGCTGCCCCATGTGAGTGATAGCTTCTCGCAGGGTTCCTGAGGGCACAGGTGATACGAGGTGTGTGTGTACATCACTCTCTCTGTTGCAGGACTGGATCATTGCACCCAAGGGTTACGCTGCCAACTACTGTGATGGAGAATGCTCCTTCCCTCTCAACGCGCACATGAACGCCACCAACCATGCCATCGTGCAGACCCTGGTGAGCGCTGGCATCTCCACGTGACTGGGGAGTAGGCCCAGGCCAGGTATTGTTCCTAACAACACCTCCCCTCCTTCTGTGTTTGAAACAGGTTCACCTTATGAATCCCGAGTATGTCCCCAAACCGTGCTGTGCGCCAACGAAACTGAATGCCATCTCTGTGCTTTACTTTGATGACAACTCCAACGTCATCCTGAAAAAATACAGGAACATGGTCGTCAGAGCTTGTGGGTGCCACTGACTCAGGACGAGCTGCTGGGGACACATGCACTGCCTTGGACTCCTGCATCACGTCTGCCTTAAAAGGCACCCGGAAGCACCGAGAAAGCGGGATAAGACGCCGACACCATCTCGTGCTGCCTGCTGCCTTTCCGCCCTAACAGACATCTTAAAGGACCTCGTCTGTAACCTGCTCACGTAGTAAATGTCGTGAGTGGTTGTCGGTCTCTAGGAAGCTGAGTTTGAGTGTCTGTAGCATGAAGTCCGGTGACTGAAGAAACCTAACTTTGAAGGTTCCCCTCTGCCCCCCAAAACCAACCAAATTATTTTGCTTTGGATCAAGCTCTTTGTGGTTTTAGTAAGTAAATAGGGAAGATAATCTTAAAGTAAAATTCTTCTTGGCTCAGATATCAGCGGGCTCAGTAGCTGCTCACAGGTAGATTTTGCAGATCACGGGAATGGGGGAAGAACGTCTCTGTTGAGCTCTCATCCCAGGGAGGTCGGTTTCTCACGTGGGATCAACGGCCCGGGAGGGAGCCGGGCAGCCCGCAAGTGCCTTTTGTCTCAGTCGTGCTGTTACATGTTTGTGCGGGCGTTTTGTCCATATGAAAATATCCTTATTTCAGTTCAACCATATTTCATTTCCCCCTTTTTTCTTTCCCCCCCCCCCCCCCCCCCCCCACCAGCATTTGCTGTTTTCTTTGCTAGGACCAAAAACACAGACTAAAGTGATCCCACTTTGAGGCGAGGCTCCGGGGATGAGAAGTCTTTTTAAAGCCATCATTTTAACCGAGCTACACGCCCGCACCTCTTCCCCTGAGGGACGGCTCTTTGAAAAAGCACGTTTACGTCAGGAATGTCAGCCCTCATCTGTGTCGGTAAAACGGTTCCTTGCCTCTTACTGGACAGCGTCCCGCATCTCGGGGTTAGACCAGCACAGGCGATGAGCTGAGGAAGGGCACCCAGCCTTAGGAAGAGATGAGGATGGGTATGTGGTTTAGGAACCGAAATCACGGTTTTCTCCTGTAGAAAGTAAGACTCAGATTAAATCTGAGAGTATTTTTTAAATGTCTTTTTCACAATCATGTACTCGGAAACCAATTTCATACTAAACTGATTAAATAATACATTTATGATCTATAACTGCACTTACAGCTTTTTTGTAAATATAAACTATAATTTATTGTCTATTTTATATCTGTTTTGCTGTAACATTTAAGGAAAGACCAGACTTTTTTTTTTAAAGAGTTTATTTAGAAAGTATCATAGTGTAAACAAATTGTACCACTTTGATTTCCTTTTTAAAGCAAGACTCACGATGCAAAGATGAATCCACTCATGAGGATTGTGCTTCTCTAGAAAGTTGGGGTCTTTTTTAAAGAACATCTGTGAACCATACATGATTAATAAAGATTTTCTTTAAGGCAGAGGCTGGCCGGGATCCTGTTGTCGTCTGCCGTGCACAGCGGACGGGGTCTTGTTTCTAAGGTCCTGACCACCAGGTACTTTGTGCCAAGTGGCCGCATCTCCTGAGCGTGGGCGGTGGGGTGACGAGTGTTATCACGAGGAGCACCTGATGGCGAAGAACCTACAGGCACATGCCTTGAGGGAGCCTCGTCCCACAGCTGCGGACTTCCAAGGGTGAGGGTAGACGTGCTCCTTATCAACCAGGACGGCGTGGGTTATGCGGACGCCGGTAAGGTGGCCTACTTCGGCCCTGCCTCTCTCCTCCTTTGATCTTGAGGTCAAGTTAATTCCACTCTTCTTACAGTAGAAGACTGACCTCCTCGAAGGCAGACGAAGTACAGGACGCGGCCTCTAGAAGGACTGCTGAGTCCGAAGCTGCTTCGGTTAGGGCTCCATTCTGGGGCTGCAGGGCTTCCTCGGTCCCTGATACGCAGACCTGGGAAGGCTCCTGCCCCAGATGGCCAAGCCAAGCAGAATCTTCCTAGGAGTTAATAGTCGGGACAAGCCTTGTGGAACTTTCCACGCGAGACATCGAATCTTCAAGTTCACGTGGACTCTGGCTTCATGTTAACTAATGAACTCTCTCACCCAGGAGGGACAGAAGTATCCCTTGAACAGTAATAAGCGATTGGTCAAGTGTCAACACACACACACGACTACGGCATCAGCATTACCTTACTCAGGCACGCGTCAGGAGTACCACCGTTTTCATTATGGCTCACCACTCCCCGTGAGAGAGGTATCAACAGAGACAGAAGATCCAGGAGGGGCTGGGAAAGTGGCTCTTCCAGAGGCGACGGGGTTTTGTGTTTTAAATCCGCTCCAAGCTACGGACCAACGACGTTATTAACAAGTCAACTGGGACCTTCAGATCAGAGCAACGCAATATCACCACAAGGCAAGGCCACCTTTCCAGAACTTGTGCACGGATGGTTCAAAAACCATGCATCGCATGATGCTTTCACCAAAATTACTCCAAAGCCAAAAACAGTCTGGCAATTGGAATTTCCTTGACTCTATTTTAGTCTCAAGGAAACCATTTAGATTTCACCGAGAGAAGGTTAAAGGGGATGGATGGTAGCTTGCCACTGAAAATATTTAGTTTGCAAAGGGATCATGAGTTACACATGTACTTAGAGAAACCTAAGAAAGAATCTGTGGAGTGTGTTGGCTTAAAAAACACACACATGGAGAAGATAGCACAAGTTTAGTGCGTTCGGATCTCTGAGTCACCACCGCAAGGGAGCGGGCAGCGGCCGCAGGACTGAGCTCCTGCCCAGGGCCAGGCAGGAGACAGCTTCCAGCCGAGCTCACAGTTCATCCTTCGCCTGGCGCAGGACAAAGTGGTGCAAGGAATCCAGGTCTCGGCCCCCGCTGTGCTCGCTGACTTTTTTGCCTCCGCGGAAAAGCAGCAATGTGGGATAACCTCGTACCTTAAAAAAAAAAAAAAAAAAAAAAAAAAAAAAAAAAAAAATTGAAAACCAACATAAAGTTGCTTCTTAAATAAAATCAGAAGAGATCCTAGAGTCGTGCCCAGGGAAGTCCATAGTTAAATTTTCAGAACGTACAGACCATCAAAAAAGTACCTAAGAGTTCAGAAAGCAGAGCCTTGGGGCTCTATATTCACTTTCCAACCCAAACCTACTTTCAAGATTAGCAACAAGGAGTGACTTCACCCTAGAGTGGAGTCTCGCCTGGGGAGCTGGTGGGGATGGAGGGGGCCTGAGGCTGCATTTCCCACAAGCTCCCTGGCGACACCAGGGCGCTCTGTGGTCCGCACTGAGTGGCAGCAGGAGCCTCAAGGATGCACACTTGTCAGCACAGCTCACCTTTCTTTAAAGCATCAAAAAAATAAAACATTTTAAAAAATGACTGGCATCTTCTAGTAAGTAGACGACGTCTGTGCTACATACATCTATTCTAATAAACTCCGGAGGCCTCAAAAATGTTTTAAGAAAAACACCACAAATGGAAAAATATAAATAAATTGCAAATCTTCTGGGCTATTCGATGGTGCTAACAGCTTGGAAAGAAGGCAACAGTTACGTAAAGAAGCCAAGCCTGGCCCATTGGTGTGGCCCTCTCAGGGAAGCGTAGGATCAGATACTTTCTGCACTGAGCGCTGCCTTGTGTCTGTGTGTGCGACGAAGGCTACAAGCCAGCTGACCGTTTAGCCAATGAGAATGGCCGCGCAGGTGGCGCCCTGCCCTCCAGCTCAGAGTCTCAGGTACTGCCCGCCTTTCGCCCAGGTGGCAAGGCCTGAAAACCCCTCTGAACTGTGTGCACTCACAGAAGACAGCCTTTCCTTTGAGAGAGCAGCTCTTTTGCTTCTCAAATGGGAAAAAAAATCCCCAAAGGACACAAAAAACTCTTTGTCGAGAGGATGAGTTATCTTGGTTGAGCCCACAGTACCGAATTACAGCTCCACTTGGGATCCGCCCCCACCTCTGTCCCCATGAGTTCCCATCCATGTGGACCCACCGAGTACTTGCTGCAGATGTTCCGTTCCGCAGTGCAGTCCAACTCGGCGATCTTGACCCCCGCCAAGCCAGGGAATTCCTTTTTCGAGAGTTCCTCCCAGGTAGGAGCCAGGCTCTTACAATGCCCACACCTGGGGACAGAAGAGCGACAGCTTTGTTGAGGTCCCGTCAAGCTCACTCGCCTGCACTTCACTGCCCAGCCTGTTTCTTCTGTAGGAAGCAGCCGACAGCTGCCCAGAAGTGGATAAACCGGCAGGTTCTCCCGCGGGGCGCGCTATCATCCCCCACCTCCTGCACCTGCTCGTCCTCTCCCATCCCGAACACGGAGTTCAAACCCAAGCCCGAGCAGGCTTTCGGATACCCTGACTGACAACAAGACGTCTGCAAAACAGCTTCAGCTTTGCAAGCATCTCTACGATGCGGTCAACTGTGGGCTTTTTAAAAAATCACCTGAATGCCAAAAACAGATATTTCTGACGGTCTTAAATGTTCAAAAGAACTTCAAAGCTTCCCTGAAGCTTCCGGGATGTGGTGTGAGCACTGAGGCCACTGAGTTCGGCTCAAACTCTACTTCCACCTGTTACTATACCCCCTTCCTGACCATCTTCCCCTCTATGACCTGCTCCCCTTCAATGAAAGCGGCTCTTCTGTCCTTGTACGTGATCTGTACAGCTTTAGGGTTTTTTTTTAAAAAAACTAGAAAATACGTGATAGTTTTAAAGGCATTATTTACTAGTGATTCTACTCTTTAAGAATAAAACCTGCGCAAGTCGTACAGGTCACTCGTTAACTTTTTTATCTCTGCCGTTACTGATTCTCATGGATACGCGCAGTGAAACGAAGTGAGAAGCGAAAATGGCGCGTGTGTGTTTGTGTCCAGAAACGGGATCGCTCTCTCCTCAACACTATCTTTCCAAATGGGTTGTTTCAAGACAAAGCGTTCTCCCCGTTTTACAGCTGAGGAAAGTGGGTTCAAAGGATTTAAAGGGCATCCAAAGCCGCAGTGGTTCACGGCACATCCTGGAACCTATCGTCTCCCCACTGACTGCGGTTGCCGCGGTCTGGGGCTCCGAGCAGCCCATCTCTGCTCTGGTCCCCGAGGGCCACGGGCCAGGAAGGTCAGGTGACTGACAGACTGCATGGCTCTAACGGAAAGCTGAGCTCTACTCGATTTCTCTACAACATCCAGAGAGACTAAGGGGCAGAGCTCTTAATACCTCATGATGTGCACGGTGTTTTTAACCCCAAAAGCCATCTATTTGGCAAAGTGCCCAGATACCACAGAACTGCAGTGTTACATGGCCACGATAAGAAGTCTCCAGTTTTGTTTCTTCCAGAGCAGACTGAGCTTTAAGTTAACCTCATTCTCCATCACTTTGTGAATTACCACCAAACTCTAACACATATAATGACATTTCCTTTTTCCCTGTAGCATAACTACAAGTAAATGTATCTGCCCAACACTGAGTCCGGAGGGTTGGCCTATGGCCTGAAAAATAGGATGTGACTCAAGCGCACGAGGACCAAGGTTCTAATTCAACAGCTACTTACCACGGGGCATAAAACTTGACGAAGGTTATGCCTTCTGCGATGGTGTCATCGAAGTTATTTTCCGTCAGTGCCAACACAGTGCCCTTGGGGGAGGGAAAAGCCACAATTCAAATACACCACGTAGAGCAGAGCGGGGACCATGCTTTGGGATCGCAGAGATACGGGTCCGTCATCTTTTAAAATGCTGTGATGTGTGCTCCGAGGCCACACACAAATACCTACACAACTCACTTTTCACAAGCTCCACAAAAGCTCCCAGCCAGCCCAGGCAGGGTCAGGTGCAGCCGCTGTCTCCAGGGCTCTGGGTGGGCAGGGCCCAAGCATGCGCCTCCCGGGCTTGGAGCCTCGGACACTGATCGAAGTCCAAGCTGACCGGCCTCCCTGAAGTCTGTACGCACTGCTTTCCCCGCCGACTCTATCGCTCTCATCCTACAGATTCATAATTATCTTCTCTATGTGACGGAAGGACCTTAGTTACACAAGCACAGGCAACATGTGCTTCTACAGCTAACAGGCTGCTTTCCATTTTCAAATTCACAGTAAATGTGAAGACTGCTCATGTGAACTCAGGCTGGAGAACTCAGGGCCAAGGTGCCACACGGCAGTCTGGTCTAAAGCGATTCCGTCTTGAAGGCTCTTCACAGGATCGTGTCTGTGTTTTCCTCCAAGAACGGATCTGTGATCCTCTCGTGAGAATATGGATGATGGGGACTTTCCTGGTGGCCCAGTGGTTAAGAATCCTCCTTCCGATTCAGGGGAACGTGGGTTCGAGCCCTGGGCAGGGAACTAAGATCCCACACGCTGCGGGGCAACTAAGGCCACGCGCTCCAGAGCCCGCGCGACACAGCTACTGAGCCTGCACGCCGTAACTGAAGATCCTGCGTGCCTCAACGAAGACCCGATGCAGCCAAATAAATAAATAAATAAAAAGAATACGGATGATGTATCACGTGGCAAAGTGTACCAGGGCTGCCCCACTCGAGTCCAGCACCAAGTACCATGTGTCTGTGACCAGGACGCAGGGGCACTGAGGGGGCCATCCAGACGCTGCCATCTTCATGTCCAGAAACATGACACCACACTCACTGAAAGACCCACTTAGCGGTGGAAAACCTCATTACAAATAGAAACCCTTCTGGGTTTGACAAAAACACCCACAGTATATAATTATACTCGATGTGGGGTGACCTTTACAACCACCATGACACACGCTCCCTTGACGCATGGTCCCTTAACTACGAAATCGTTTGTTTACTTCTTAAACCAAAACTTCCACTTTTAACTAACACCCACGCGGTCCCCAACCTACAAGCGTCCCACTAGGGGCTGGGCCCGGGGGAGCGGAGGCGCCATCACAGCCCCACCCTGGGAGGATGGGGCCGGCGGCTGCCGGCTCTCCAAGCCTGATCCCCGGGCCCCGGGCGTGACAGCCCCAGCGAGTCACGATCGCTCCCGTAAGTGCTGAGGCTGGACAGTCGCCAGGGAGGCGTCCTCCCCAGGACCAGGGCCGCCCTGCCCGCCGTCCCGGGTAAGAACCTGGCGTGCTGTGCAGTGCAGTTGTGTGAACCGAGGCGGCAACACAAGGACTCGGCTTTGGAAGTACACTGACAGACAAACAGGCCTTATGTGTGGTTCTCAGCTGGGAAATCCGAGCACTGCTTTCCCGGGAAAACACCACTTTGACTCCCCGAATAATCCCATCTTCACCCGCGGCTTCAGCATCGGTTTCTACCTACAGGAGCGGATGCGGGAACCTCCTCGCCTAGACAGGCATCCGGCTTAAGCTCCGGACTCTTACCTGTCGCCACGTGCAGACCGCCACAGCCCTGGAAGCAACACCTTGAATAGGGACCCATCGCCTCCCTCCCACCCGGCGCCGCCAGCCCGTCTCTCCCTCCCTCCCCTCCCCCATCCCGACTGCGCAGGGGGAGCTGGACGCCCCTGCCCACCGTCCCTGCATCCTTTGTCTCCAGATACAGCGGTTTCCGTCTCGTCCACACAGGCTGCAGCCAGCCGGCTTTCTTAACGTCCACGTCGGCTCCAAGCCCTCCACTGGCTCCCTGCAGACCTGAAATCTGCGGCTGGCGGACAAGGCCCTCCGGGGGCCAGCCGCCGGCTCCCTCTGCGTCCCGCACAGTGCCCTTGGCCTCCTCGCGCCCTCTTCACTCCTGCCGGCTGACGCGCCGCCAGGCGGCCTTCCCCACGGCTCTCCAGTGGACACCGACTCACCCGTGGGGTGGCGCTCCCTGCCTCCCCGCCCCGGCCTGCGTCGCAGCACCGACATCTTCGTGTGTCTCCCCCTTCCCACCCGCCACTCTCCACAGGCGGAAAACGACCTTATTCGCTTTGTGTCCTGGCAGCCTAGGACAGTGGCTGGAACGCGACAGGGCTTGATAAACGCAGAACGAACAAACGTGAAACCTTACGCTCTGAATATATGAAGAGGACACCTCGATAAGTCAGCGATCGTCTGGACAAATGAAATAGCCTACAGCGATCTGCCTCTGACATTCCAACGCGCAGAGCCTTTCTGCTGCAGCTCTTTCAGGGGCCTTTACCACCTTGACTGCAGCAAGTTATGGAAACGAGCAGAACGGGCCCAAGAGGCAACAGCCCAGCTTTCACAGCAAATACCTTCAAGTTAGTGAGTGCTGAATCAAAGGGAAGAACTGTCCAGAAATGCTGACACCAAATGCTCGCAGGATCCTTTGTCTCACACCCACTCCAGGTTCTTTAAAGGGAAGCTCTGTCTACGCTGACCCCCTAACAAGCATGTGAAAGGAGTTCAAGAAAACGCTGTGTTGAAAAGTGGACCCCAGCCCCCCCATGTGAATGACCGACCGCGTGCTGTGCCTGCGCTGTCGCTTGGAGGTGGGAGCTGACCGTGCACCCACCTGGTCGGCCGCGGGCTCAGTGGCCAGCGTGGGGGCCTCCGAGGGCTGGATGGGCTCCGGGGCGCCCCTCTCCGTGCTCTGGAGCTGCGATGCCACGTACTCCCTCAGCGACTCCAGATCCCGCTTCCCCTTGTACTGATCAACCTGTCCGGGACACAGGCGACACAAAGACACGTAAGGGCTGTGAATCCTCAACCCTCCACCTGCCCACGCGTGACCCGCCCCCATCGGACGTCTCTGTCTGGGTGTCCCGGCTCTGTGGTGTCTGCTGCTCAAAGGTGAAGGCAAAGCACAGATGATCAACCGCAGTTTGGCTCTGGGCAAAGAACTTCACAGCGCCTTCCTTCTGCAGAGCTAAGCGGTTCCAAAGTCTGGGCGCTGCCCAGCGGCCAGGGACGAAGCCGGCATTGAAGGGCCTTACCAAGAGCGAGCGCTGACCCCTCTCAAAGGTCGGAATCAGAGCAGTTACCCTAGGACCGTCCATCCGGCTTATGCTAGAGTTAACCTGAGCCCGCTGAGATGCTTCGGGAGTGCATAACGCCTGATGGTTTCTCTCAACCCGCCAGGCCTTACCAACAAAGAGAAAGACATTCTCGCTCCGTGATGCGTATTCCTTTAAACCAGTGCCCAAACAGTCTGTGCTGGCAACGCGCCACCCGTTAAACCACTCGACTGTTCAGCCGTGGTTAAGACACACATGTTGTCTCAACGCTAAGACCCGAAGACGTACCTTTTTACCGTCTCGGAACCAGAGGAGAGCAGGATAACCTCGGACCTGGTTTCCTGAGCAGAGTTCATGGTGCTGTGTGCAATCGACCTGGAAATACAGATCACGCGCCCCGTCAGTTTCTCCGCGAGCCTTCCTGGTAAATGGGCTCTCGGACACTCAGTGCTTTTTCAAAGAAAGAAAATTTCTACAACTCCCCATCTGTAGCGTCTCTGCCAGCAAGCTGCAGCTTTTGGAGAGACTTTACCCCAAAATACACCTGAGCTTAGGGAGCAGAGTGATGGGATTTAGAGACATGATTTCTTTTCACTCAAAAATGCCAGTTTTGGGGGAGCAGGTCAGCAGATGGGCCCTGAGCAGGTCAGCAGATGGAGAGAGGGAGCCTAGCCTGACATCTGGAGAAGGGGACGGCCAGCTGTCGTGGACAGAGACCCACGCCAGTCATCAGAAATGTATTCTCAGGTTCAGGAGTTTTAAATAGGAGTATTTGGAATATAATAAAGATAAAACTGAAAAGACATCAAGTTAAGTGTTTAACACACAATAGTGAAAACTTCACTTCACAACCATTACAATTTCCTAGGCATCTGCTCTGTGCCCAGCGTCGTGCTCAGCATTTCACCGTCACCCTCACCACCGCCCCAGTCAGATCTCGTCTCGGTTTTGCGAAGGGGGAGACAGGTGTGGAGAAGCTGCTCGAGGGTGGCCGGCCAGGTCTGTCCGAATCCCACGTTTATGCTTTTGGCCATCTCACTGTGCTGGGCGCATCACCTTATTAGCTACAGTTCCTGAACACACAGCATTACTCCTGTATACAAATCAGCCCCCGGCAAGGTAGAAAATGAGATTTTTATAAAAGCAATTCAGGCAGGGTGTCTGGTAGGTGCTGGAGGATGGACGGATTAAAAGTGCTTGAAGGCCCGGAAGCTGCTCTAGATATTTCCCGAAAACCCAGCTGTCAAGGCATCACTTCTGGTTTCCCTATGTAAAGTGGGAAAGAATTCCTGGCAGCAGGGCAAAAGCCAGGGCTCCCCACGGGCGGGTCTTCTGCACGCAGGCTGCACACAGGGTGTGAGCACAGAGCCCAAGGTCCTTTTAGGAAAGAGCTCTTGGGTGAGTTCGACTGTGGATGGTCTCCAAGTACGTCCAGTGAATGTTCTCTAAGGCTCTGCCCCATATCTTTGCAGAAAGGGCTCTGGGGCTGCCAATTCAGAATTGGCCATTGCTTCAAAATAAACAAAGGAGCCAAAGCCATAATTTATCTCTAGACTGTGGAAAAGCCAGCACACTCAAAACCCGGCTGCCATCTGTGAAGGTGAAATGAATTATCAAGTGGCACGCTAAATGGAATTAATAAATCAAGTTTGCGACTCTGTGCACAGAATGAAGAATGGGCTACTCAGCTAATTAATCCAGCCAGAGGCGGTCTATTTCCGGTTTAATAAGGGCTTTCACTTACCTTGCCAATCTTGACAGTTTCGGAATGTTCAAGGCCCAGAGCCAGCTGCTCCCAGGTCGGAGCCAGAGCTTTGCAGTGACCACACCACGGGGCGAAGAACTTGATAAAGTGGTCTCCTTCGGGGGTGGGGAAGGAAGGCGGGGGAGGGGAGAGGGAGTGTGAGTTACACCCACCCACCTAGAGCGTGAGTGGAAGCGTCTCATCTTTGTCCTCCTGCAAAGCTCAGTTCAGCATGAACCCTTGACTGGTAAAAAATGACTCCCCATCAAATATGTCTCTACCGGTGAGTTCATAACGATCCTTAAAAACCAATCTGTCATCTTTGGAGGACAACAGGGACCCAACTCATTCGGAAAACGGGCGATAAAGGGAAAGAATCAGGCACTTAGCCTGTCTTTCCCACGTGAACTGCACCGCTGGATAACCAAGTGATAAACGAGGGCAAGTGTCTCCTGCTGTAAAAATGAAGAAGGGATGCTTGAATTACAGCAGCAGGCTTTGCATCCCTCGTGAGTTACGGCTCTAGGCGGTGACGGACGAGGCCACTGACGTCACAGAGAGACTTCCCAGCTACGCAGTGTTGCTCACACCCCCCAAAACATCAAACAGAACGTGATAAAGTCCCTAGATTCAACGGCCAACTCACAGGGAACAGAGACATCAGGGTGACGTGGACAGGGCGACCGTACTCCACACCATGAAGCAAGTGGCGGGTTCCCTACAGCCAGGGCAGTGCCTTTTGGGGGGCGGGGCATGGGAAGCGAGCAGTGTTCTGTCTTGAGCCGGGTGACCGCTCTATGACCATTCACTACACCCTACATTGTTTTCTGTATCTGGGTTTTATTTCACAATAAGATAGAAGATCTAAAAAGACTGAATATCGCTCCCCTTGGCTAGGAAAAAAACAAGCCTACAACACCATGATTTAGGCACTGAAAACTTTCATCTAGGCTCTTCTACCTTGACCAGCCTAGGGCCAAAACGGTGTCAGGCTGAGACCAGACCGAAATCAGGCTGTGGCCAAGGAGAGAACCAACCAACGGACGCTGGCGTGTGACTCAGGCTCAGAGTCGGACTTTGCCATGGCAACGCTCACGGCGGCATCTTGTCACCGCGGCAATGATGCGATCGCGGGAAATGGGGAAAAAAACTTGCTTCAAAATCAATACTGTAAATCCACTATACTCCAGTTAAGAAATTTAAATAAAAACATTTAAAATATACATGAGCAGCTGATCTGCAAGGCTGAAACCACGTCTCCAGACAGGTGTGTCACTACTTTGTGCTGTGAGGCGGAGACAGGAGGCCTGGCAGCTGAGTCAGGGCGGGGCTGCACCGCTCTCCGAGGAGAGACCCTCATGTCAGCAGCACGAGGCCACGGCGTGCGGGCACACGGCCCCTCGGTGGGTGACCTGCTCGGGGTGGGGGGGGATGTCAGGGCTGGGCTTCGGACGGTGGTCTGTCACGGGTGGCCCCGGGAGCGCATGCTGCAGGGAGCCCAAGCCCGTCTCAAATTAAAGCGACTCCCCTTCGGATAGAAACCCTGTCAGAGCATCTGTACCAATTAACTAGCCACCTTTAATTAAAAACGGCTGAAAGGATCACCACAAGCGATGTCAGGCCTTAGATGGGGTGTATGTCAACTACCAGCAAGCAGGAGGCTTCAGGGCCGGACACAATTTTAAGCCCTCCTAAGAGCGTTTCCAACCCCGTCTCCCAGGAGGATCTCTCTCCACGACAGCATCTGAGAGGGCAGGTCAGCAAGGAGGCTGAACGCACTTTCAAGCCTTTCACTGCTGAGCCCACACTTCCGAACGTGTGAAGAAAGGCCTTACACATCATTAACATTAGAAATCGTACTCAGGTCATTCTGACATTTAGGAGACTATTTTCAAAAAATGAGATTTGGTATCGAAAAATATTTTAAGTGTAAAGAACACCTACGCTGATTCAATTCGTGTGTTATAATGGTCCCAATAAATTCTGGTTTAAACAGGTAAGAGAAACCTTTGTTTCTGCCTCAGGTCAATAAGCATATGCTTAACATTAACATAAACAAACATTCTTATCCAAGGACGCACTGTCCAGCCAGTATACAAGTGCGTGCACCCACTCACCATCAGTGAGCTTTCCACACCTGAGGCTTTAGCTTAGGATTAGGACTGGCCCTTCCCTAAGGACAGAGACGAAAGGAGGGATCGTCTCCAAGAGGAAGGGCATTAAACACTGATGCCATCGGGGTTGGGGGAGAGAAGCTCTGGACAAGTGCCACCCATGCTGCGACCCACCGGCCCTCAAGCAGCAAGAGGAAAAGCCAGGCCCCCCAGGAGGACGGCCCAGGCAGGGGTGCCCAGAGGTGCAGACCCGGCGCACCCGCCCGCCTACCTTGTGCCACGTGCAGGTCAAAGTTGCCGGCCGAGAGCTCGTACAGGCCCTGCTTGAGCTCGGGGGCTCGGGGCGGCTCCACCTCGGGCTCCGGTGTCTGATGGGAAGAGACGGAACAAGGGTCACTGGGTGTGTGTGTGAAGACCCAGGGGAGCCCATGGAGGCTTCTGTCTGGAACCTTCTATGCTCTCCTCCCTCCCCTGCCACCTCGAGGCTTCGAGGGACACTGCTGTGTTGAGGTGGCGCCCCGGGCAAAGAAGCGACTTTGTCACCCTTGGCAAATGCTCGAGGACCGATGCTCCAGGCAGCTGGGTGATGGCCTCCCTGCCCCAACCCATCCTTTGCTGTCCCCAAACCCCACCCAACAGAGCAGACAAACTGAAGGATGGGCCACCCCAAACCAGCACCCTGTCCCGTCCTTTGAAACGTGACCTGAGACGTCTTGTAGAATACAGAAGGAAGCAGCACCCGAAGACACAGAGGGAGCAAAAGGGGCACGACGGGGAGCAGGAAACGGTCAGAGAGCAGGCGGGCCTGGCCACCCTTTATCTACACAAACATAAAACCTGTAAAGGAAGGTCAGACTCTGAAGGGCTGATAAAAGAGAAAAGATGACGAGAAAGAAGATTCAGGTGGACGAAAGGCAGCAAAGAGGAAACCACAGGGCAAACATGGGCTGCACTTTTAGCAAGAATATGGTTCATGGGGCTAAGTTTGGGACAGAAACACACAGAGAACGGACAAGAAGTGGCATTTCTCCAGTACCTGGCAGACACCAGTGTGACAACTAACTACTAACCACTCTACCACACCGTGCGAAACGTCTCAATTGTTCAGGCCGACACAGCCACGGCCTGCAAGCAGAGGTGAAGAGAAGACCACTGAATCCCCACTGTGCTATAGACACGCGGGTGTGTGTTACTCAGTTTTTACCTAGTGGTTCGTATTTCTATTAAAAAGAATATCTAAGTTTAGTCTTTAAAAGCTTTCAAAGTGCTGACAGCTCAAAGCTGAGCAGTGAAGCACCATGAAGTTTTCTTTTCCACTGCTGGCTTGACACAACTGTCCAAGTGCTAAGTACCCAGGCAAAAGGATGACCGAGAGTGATGGCTAGTGAACAGTCAGCTAAGTTCCAATAACATGAAACAAAAGATGACACGTCACCCGGTATAAGACGTTCAAAGGGCTGCAGTAGCAAAATGTCCACTTACGGCACCGCAGGAGCCTGTGCCTCGGTGGCACGCAGGGATGGCCACTATGGGGACACCACAGTGCATCACAGAACGGCCACCCTCCCCTCTCCCCGGGCTGGTGACAGTGTGGGCTTACAGAGTCTTAGGAGAGCGACCTGGCAGTATTCATCAGGGGCCATAAAAGTGGTCTTGCTTTTTTATTTTTTGCCTTGCAATTTTATGTCTGGGAATATAGTCTAAAAAGTCACTCCAAAGTAGAAAAGGAAAACGTCCTTTACAAAGATAAAAATGTTCCTTATAGCATTTCTGATGACAGAAAAAATACACATAACCTAACTATCCCTGGACAGAGAAGAGCTGGATTATGGCAAATCCAGGAGATAAAATATGGTCAGTATAAAGATGACTCAACTATATAAAAAGATCGTTAATGAAAGGAACCATGTTTATTTGATGATGACTGTTTAAGGAAAAATTACAGAAGGAAACATGGAAATATAAAAATTGGGGTACAATTTAAGAAATGGCAGGTTTTCTTTTGACTTCCTTTAATACTGCCATAATGCTAGGAAGGAAAAAATCTAAATTTATCCTGTTTAAAGATGAAAATGTGTATATTAAGTTATTTAGATATAAATACAGATGAAGTTTTTAAAAAGTTTTTGCTTATAAGGCAAAATTCACATTGAAAAGAATTTCAGCTTGCAGTATTAAGTCTGAATATTTGAACTTTTCTATAATAAGGCACCCTGTCATCATTTCTAGCAATTATCTGAGATCCCCACTGCTCCGAGACACAAAGATATGGCCAGTGGGTAACTGAGGTCTCAGGTGGGGAGGGGTGGGTTCCATGTGGCCACGCCCCCGGGGTACCCCGCTGAGGATGGCTACGTGAGCCTCAGCCTGGCTGCCCCATCCCCAGCCCGTGCTTTGGGCTCCACTCCCCAGAAAGACGTTCGGCTCATGAGATGAAGTCTTTCTGCTATCCTGACACTGGCAGATGCTTTCGTGAATAAAGTCATCATAGAAGACTGGCTTTTTGCTGAAAAGTTTACTTTAAATGTTTTTGGAGACCATGAACTCCCCTTTAAAACTGGCTTCCGGGCTTCCCTGGCGGCGCAGTGGTTGACAGTCCGCCTGCCAATGCAGGGGACATGGGTTCATGCCCCGGTCCGGGAAGATCCCACGTGCCGCGGAGCGGCTGTGCCTGTGAGCCATGGCCACTGAGCCTGCGCGTCGGGGGCCCGTCCCCGGAAAGGGGAAAGGCAAAAGAAGGAAAGGGCCAGGAAACCAAAAAAAGAAAAAAGAAAAAAAAAAAAAAACTGGCTTCCTCCCCTCAGAGGACATTTCCACAAAAAAAAAAAAAAACACAAAACTTGAAGTTTAAACCTATGTGAAAGTTACACCTGCTCCTCCAGCTTTCTTGCCATGACAAAGATGCAAATTTACTCTCCGCGAGGTTTGTGGTTTTCCCTGTTGCCTAAAATTAGACACGTCTCTGGTCAACACATTCAATACCGTATGCCAACGTTCTTCTCCATGTGGTTCTAAACTTTTTAAGAATGTGAGGTAAAGTAGCACTTGGGAAGCAGCTGGGTTTCCGATTAGCTGTGACCTCTACACAGAATCTGGAGGACAGCTGAAGGACCACACCCTGGAAGATGACACCAACAGCATCAGGGCCCCCAAAAGAGCCCTGGAGCCCAGACAACCTTCAGGTCAGGGAGCGCCTGCCTGACGCAATACCACGGTCTTACTCCAGTGCTGGACTGGACATTACATTCAAAGACTTCAGATGCTCTTAATATTTTCATCAGGAACGTACAGCACGGGAACACGGGCCATCTTTCTATTCCCGTCAAAATACAGCTCAGCCTCTGTGGGCCTGAGCAGTCAGCATTGATCCGAAAGCACCACCCACGAAGGGACGCTCACTGCAGGGCTCACGATCAGTGATTTATAACAAAACTAAGGGTCCTAACATCAGCTGGAGGAGGATTACAGGTTTTTTTTGTAACACTCTACATATAACTATGTCTTTAAAAAGTATCTCAGTAACACAACATTGTAAATCGACTATACTTCAATTAAAAAATATCTCAGAAATCATACAGTTTCTCCCATTTCCTGATATTATCCTTACCGCAGGGGAGGCCATTAAGACGTGGAGAGTATGAAGGGTACTGAATTCTGTTATCAGCAAAGCCACTTAGGGCCGTGGGGCTGAGGGTTGAGAAGCAAAGGGAAGATTCACACTGTGGGTATCGCCCGCGGGAGCGAGGTCCCCACCCTGGGCCTGACCCTGGGTGGCCACGAGTCCATCTCGGGTGCTGAGGAATTACTGTGAGCTGAATTACATGTGAAGGGGGCACAGAAGGTATGTTAAAAAGTAGTAAGTCCTCACCTGTGGGCTGCATCCTGAAATATTTACAAATGACACTGACTGTGCAGCCAAACGTGGGGCGGGGAAGCAGGGGAGACAAAATAAGGCCCACAGAATGGGAACCACTGTCAAGGCTCAGGCGGGCACGCGGGGCCACCTTCCCTGCACTCCTGCCCACCATCCATTAGACTCTTCTTTCTACTCTGGTGCCTGTTTGAACTTTTCCATAACAGAAAGTTGTTAAAAGTTCATCTTTTCCCACTTACATAAGGTACTTAAAGGAGCCAAATTCATAGAGGCAGAAAACAGAGCGCTGGGCGCCAGAGACTGCCGGAGGGGGAGGGGAGTCAGGGCTTAACGGGGACAGGGTTTCCTTTCGGGAAGACGGAAAATTTCTGTGCATGGACGGTGGTGACGGCGGCACCACATTCTGAATGTATTTATACCACTGAACTGTACACTGAAAAACAGGTAACAGGGCAAATATTATAGTGTATTTTATCACGGTAAAAAGAAAAACAGAAGAAAAAAAAAGTGAACCTTTACTTATGATAAAAGTTGCTTTAAGATGGTACTTAAGGCTTCCCTGGTGGCGCAGTGGTTGAGAGTCCGCCTGCCGATGCAGGGGACGCGGGTTCGTGCCCCAGTCCGGGAGGATCCCACATGCCACGGAGCGGCTGGGCCCGTGAGCCGTGGCCACTGAGCCTGTGCGTCCGGAGCCTGTGCTCCGCAACGTGAGAGGCCACAACAGTGAGAGGCCCGCATACCGCAAAAAAAAAAAAAAAAAAGATGGTACTTAAACTGGCCTCTTGACTACCCCAAAACTGTAGGAAGAAAGAGGGGGTGGCTTCGTGTGCACTCACGGGGGGCTCCTCGTTCAGCGTCTGCAGCATCCAGTTTTCCAGGGCCTGAAAATCCCGGGGACCCTGGTACTTCACAGCTTCTTGGCCAGGCTTGAAAAACTTCAAGCTGAAAGAGTAACAGAGGATTAGTTGCAGTAGATTTTAAAGCACTTCAAACCACTCTGAGCAGAGAGCAAACTCAGTTAGCGGAACAATCATAAAAATGAGGTGCCGGCGGGCCGCAGGCAGCCCACCCCTGCCCCTCTCTGATGATACTTGGAAAAGAAAGAAAAGTAATGTTCTAGGTGATAACATAGTCACTTAATCCTGAACTTTTAAAAGTTTCTTATGTTATTCTTGAAAAACAAAACCGGGGTGAACACATCAGGCCGTGAGTTAAACCCCGAAAGCTACGAGGGTTCAGGTGTGCAGAGCTCTCTAGCTTTCCCCTGCCCCACATTTGTTATCCTTCCCCGGCTTCAGTAGTTCTTACGTTCTGCATTTTGAAAAACAATTTACAACTGTAGTAGAAATAGCATTGTTCTGCAGTAAATGTATTTCCAGGATACACTGTCAGCTATTCAACTCTTACAACGCATGAATATCCAGCTACTGTGAGAGTTCAACCTTCCAACTATAAGGACAACCTTGACGTTGGTTGATAATGGCCCGTTCACTTGCCCCAGAGAAGGAATCTTTTCTATTTTACACACACACTAGGTATCTGCAGACAGAGCAAGGAGCTCTGCCTTTGGAGGGGAGCAAAGACATCACCAGAGGCCGAGATGAACACGTCCAGACCCTGTGTCACTCCACTGGTGACGGGACAACACGGTCCAGATAAAACTTAACAGAAGGCGTCAAGGAAGGTGGGGAGGGGAGGGAATAATTCTTCTATTGACAGAATTAATAGAGGGTGGCAGGATGGAGGGGGAAATATGGCTACTGACAGGTAACACACACAGGCTAGCATTCGGGGGCGAGCCTACTCATCTAAAACACCCCTAATGCTTCCTGGCACATACGTGGGTTTTGTTAGGAGATGCCCAATGCACAGTGCCAGAGTGCGAGAGGCTAAGATACGCAGAAATCAAACTGTGGGTTTGGACAGCTAGCCCCACAAAGGTCTTAAAATGAAGTTTCACACCAAACAAGAAAACCAACACACTGGCTGTAGAAGGCATTCAGGTGAAAATGGGCTTACTGGCCTCACCCAGGAGCTCAGATCCTGTGATGGGCTGGGGGACGTCCCAATGTGTCTCCAGTGAAGAATATATGTCCCCTTCCCTAGCAGCTTATACTCATAGAGCCAGGACAAAAAGACGCAATCTAACTCGATTCGGCCAGTATGTCCCTTCCTTGACGAAGCGTAACATTTCAAGTGACTCCAAAGCAGGCTCTCAGACTGTGAACACCCGCATCCACCCCGAGACGCTCTGGAAACGTGAGCTGTGCCCACAGAGGACTAGGGGCGGCTACTGTCCCTCTCCACTCCCCACCTCTCCCCCAGTACCTCCCTCCACCGAAGCGCTTCAGGATGGAAAAGAGTGGATCCTCAAAACATCAGAAAGGAATAAAGACGCAGACGTAGAGAATGGACTTGAGGACACGGGGAGGGGGAAGGGTAAGCTGGGATGAAGTGAGAGAGTGGCATGGACATATATACACTACCAAACGTAAAATCCATAGCTAGTGGGAAGCAGCCGCATAGCACAGGGAGATCAGCTCGGTGCTTTGTGACCACCTAGAGGGGTGGGATAGGGAGGGTGGGAGGGAGACGCAAGAGGGAGGAGATATGGGGATGTATGTATACATATAGTTGATTCAATTTGTTGTACAGCAGAAACTAACACACCACTGTAGAGCAATTATACTCCAATAAAGATGTTAAAAAAAAAAAAAGAAAATCTGAAGGCTTAAATATTAATTGTAACGATAAAACTATATAAGAATTTTTAAAAAATCAGAAATCAGAGCAGGCATTGTTGAACCCATCCTCCATTCCTTTACTAAGGTTAAAATGCAGTAAAACCTAATCTGGGACTTTTCCCTCATGTGGTGTACACTGAGCGAAGCAAAACTAGTTTTTAAAATCTCTTCCTGTTGTTGGATTAAAAATCTTTCTAACCAGCTCGAGTCTGAGATTCTGGTTGAGTTCACAGAGCCTAGGGAGGGCAGAGCTTCCCTCACGGGGCATCTGACTTCACTCCCACTGTACATGGAGGTGAGGGCAGCAGTGCAGAGCAGGCCACGGGGTTCACGCCCCAAGTATAGCCCCAAACTCTTCTGCTGTTACCAAACCTCCACATGGGCACTTGTTTTCCTGGTGATCTGTTCCTCAGTCAAGGAGACTGCAGGGGAAAGATCCCCGTTGCTGGGTCCCTCTGGAAAACAGCAATGATGGAAGTTCTACTACTATAGATGAGATGGTGTCATGGGTCGAATTGTGTCCCCAAAAAGATCTGCGGAAGTCCTAACCCGCGCTACCATGGAATGTAACCCTATTTGGAAATAGGATTTGCACAGAGGCCGTCAAGTTAAAATGTGGTCGTGAAGGTGGGCCCTAATCCAGTACGTACAGAAAGGGGAGATTCAGACACAGAGAGAGACAAGCAAACAGCAGAAGGCCAAGTCCAGGAGCAGGACTGGGGTGACGCTTCTGCAGGGCAAGGAACACCGAGGGCTGCCCACCAACCACCAGGGGCCAGGAAGAGGCAGGGAAGGACCCCTGACAGGTTTCAGAGGCAGCACGGCACTGCCGATGCCTTGATCTCGGGCTTCTGGCCTCCGGAACTATGAGAGAATACGTTTCTACTCTTTTCAGTGGCACTCTGCATGGCAGCCCTAGGGAACCTCCTTCAGCCCTGCCCCTGCCAGCATTTTCCCAGGTGATAAAGATTCTTTACTGTCTCAACAGCAAGACCTCAAAACATCTTCCCGAGCGTAGGCAGCCTTCTCCAGGGACCTGGGAACCCAAACTCCCTCCCTCTCCAATCCTTTCCTCCAGTTAAAGGTGACGGGAGGGATGACCTAAAAGCTAATGTGCTGACACCCCGCTCCGCAACCCGCCTCAGCATTTCATCACCACCTGATTCAGGCCTCGAAACATCCCTAGAAGTGAAAGCTCACACAGGCTCATCTATGAATGCCCTGAGGCCACTACATTTATGCAGCATGCCCCCACCTCCTGCATTCTGTGAAAAAATCTGTTCTCGGGCTGTGACGAGGTTCCTTCCCAAACCAAGTAGCAGTAGCTCACTGTATTGTATAGTTCTTTTTAACAACATAAAACCAGTGCATGGTTTTCTTGGGGAGACCGTATCTTCTAGAAAACAAATCAGGACACCTGATCCAACATGGATCTTTCAGTATCTGTGAATAGCATCTGTGCAGTAACTGATGTTGCAGCCAGAGAGCTCGTATGACTGGGTGCAGGTGGAACCCTCTACTCTCTCCCTGACACTTGCCTTCTCAGCCCTATGACTGGTCCTGTTTCACCTTCCCTATGGCGTGGTTTACCGTGCACAGAGCCACAGGGCCACACACAGCCGGCTCTTTCAGAGTGGACCCCATGGCCACCCATCTCTGTTGCTCCTGCACTTTGAAAGTAACAGGCTCTCAACAGGTAACTGGTCCCACTTCTCACTGGCTGCTGCTTTGGGATGCCCTTCATACAAGCAGAGTTTACTTTAAAGGCAACGCAGTGGAGCACAGGACAGTGGTGCCAACGGGTAGGTACATACAGCAGGAAGTTTTGTCTCTATTGCTCTGATGTGATGTGCACTTGAGTTACTGCACCCACATTAGCAAACAGTCACCAAAGACCAAGAGGTCCAGGGCCCTTTATGGAAATGCCGAATCTCCAGAGATTAGAGGAAACCTTAACATTATTGGGTATGTTCAGATCGGCATCTACACCCATGCAATTACACACAACAATGTTATGGGGGGGTGGGTGTCAGCATCCTACTTCAGACTCAGAGGCTGAGGAACGTGCGTGACCAGAGCTGCAGGATAAGTACACGGTAGAGCTGGGGTCCAAACCGTGGCATCCAGGTTCCAGCCCAGAGCTCCTGCCATTTTCCATGCGGCCTCTCAAGTCTGAAGATCAGCTCGGGTTTCCCAAAGGATTGACTTCATTTGTCAATCTGAACAAATATTTGGGGACCTGCGGTGCCCAACCCCTCCCCCATCCTTCTGGAAACAGCGTCTTCCCTTTTTTGGAGAAGCGCTCTTCACTCCACCAGTAAATGTTGAGTCTGAACGGGGCTGCCATCTTCCGACAAGATCCTGCCTCTCGGGTCACAAAGATGGTTTCTGGAATGAACAGTCCATCCAAGCTGGGCCAATTGGCGACGGGCCCAAGTCCGCCATGGCAACAGAGAGATGCAGAGCGGGGGGTTAAGTCACCTTAAGGGGCGGGAGGGCAGAAAAACAGACCTCCAAACTCATGGAGCTGAGTCTCAGAGGCCTTCCCCCACAGCCTTCAAATTAATTCCGTCTTTTGTTCATTAAGCCAGTTTCAATTTCTGTTCTTAAAACCAAAAAACTGTTTTAACTGTCAAGGAAGTAGGTAGCAAGTATCACTTGTCAGAACAGCTGCACTTTCTTTCCAACAGAAACAGCCCACGGGCCAGTCACATGGGAAATAACTCTAGAAGGGAGGCTTAAGAATTAACAGAGTGACCAAAAATTCAGACGCAAATTCATGACAGTCGGTGCTCATCGTGTAAACGTACGTGTGAACGTCAAATGTGACAGGACCTCGTGGAGAATGCCACTTTTGTCTGGCAGACATGTTCTTTTATAAACAGGAAAACTCAACTAATTAAACGCTTTTCCCAAACAAAGTAAAAAAAGGCACCCAATACACACACGGTGCAAATATAACCTCTCCCTAACACAGGGAGTGCCTGCTTGAAGTCGGCATCCCCTCACTCCTCAGAACTACAAAGAAGGTGCCGAAAGTTTAACTTGAACTTTCTTGGCCGAATGCGGCTGGCGAAAAGCCGAGGAAGACCCGGCGGATACAGGACGCGAGCGCCCGTCACTTACGTGGGGTACCCACGCACGCCCTGGGCGGAGCACACGTCCGAGCTGGCTGTGCAGTCGACCTTGGCCACGTACACCTTGGCGTCCTCCATGCTGTTGTACTTGTCTCCCAGGTCGTTCCAGGTAGGCTGCAGCCGCTGGCAGTGTCCACACCTGTAGCAAGGTGACAGTGACAAGCACGCTGAGCGCCGGGGTCAGAGGGTGCCCGACCCACCTGCTCAGCCATTTCCTAGGGCAGTGGGGCTCTCTGATCCAACCCCTTCTTCACACTGCAGTGGAGACGGAGCCGGACAGCTCACAGTGTCTGCATAATCTTGCTCCCCTGCTTAAACCCTCCGGAGAGACCCTGCATCGTTCTCAGCGTGAAATCAAGACTTAGCCAGGCGCTGTGCCGGCTCCCCCTGGATCTGGTCCCTGCTGACCTCCCACCTGACCTCTATGCACACTGCCCTCCTTCCCTTGCTGCCCACCACTGGGTCATGCTGCTGAGTTTCCAGGTTCCTGAAAGGGCCGTAGCTTGGCCGGGCCCTGGGAATCAGCACACTCTTCTCTCTGACACTTCCTCCCTAAACCCACCTGGCTCATTCCTATTTGTCACTTCCTCCAGGAAGTGACTCCCAGGCTGTCTGGTGTCCACTCTCTTCTCCCCTTCATCTGGAGAGCTCCCTCGCTCCGCCCCTGTGGCGGTGGCTCAGCACTTCCCCTCGCCATGGCTCCTTGACAGTCAGGTCTCCTCTACCATGTAACCGAGTCTCCCCACATGCAAGGCAGCCTCGAAATGAAATCAGCTCTGCATTCTCTCCAGTGAGAAGCATACAAAAAGCTTGTGGCCACCCCCAAACTTCTAAATCTGAGATACTCAAACATACACTCATAAAATTCAGTGTATGAATTTAACTATACACAAACACTATGGCATGTGGGGGTTTTTTCCCCATTCACCTGGTAAGTGTGTATTCGTGATGTCTACGATGTAACTACTTGCTGTATTGCTTTCTAAAGTGTGGTAAGAACACCCAACACTTAATAACTGAGTTCATCCTCAAAATAATTTCTCAATCAAATCAGTGTTAAATCTCCTTGCCTCTTTTCTTTTCTGACAGATGACCTCACCAGGAAGCACCTAAAGGAAGCACTGGAAAATTCTGCTTCAAGCACAATAACCTGTCTTCCCTAAGCACTTTCTTGGCCAGAGAAGAGAATCCTGCTTTATAAGAGGTTCGAATACAATATGAATCCCTTCTTTTCTGGAAGACACTTGTGAGGGAAAACCCCTGCTGGATTTAAGTATACATGGGACAAGAGACAAGCATCATCCTTCCTACAGCTGGATTCCCAGTGCCTGCACGTACTAAGTGCTTGGCGATCTCTCAGCGATGGATCCGTGGGTGCCGTGCAGTTGGCACTTCTGGGTTTGGACCTCTGGGGCTACAGCATGAACCTCTGAGACAGCAGCTGCATTCAGAGGCAGTTTGTGGTCACATAACAGAGCAAAGCCACCTGGTCCTTTTGAGGAGGCGGCTCCAACCTTGACCTCACTGTCATCAGGTTCAATGTGACCTGAAAACTGGCCATAGAGAAGCTATGACCTGATGCTGGCACAAGATCTACAGCAGTAGGACAGCCCTGCCTCTACCCAGTTCAGAGCAAATACACACAGATCGATGTTTTCATTAGCTCCTGCCCCCAAATCACACGTGGGCTCCCAACATTCCAGAAACTGAAATGGAAAGAGGAGGGGCAGCCCACAGCGTATTCCATCTGAGCTCCAATCTGCTCTTAAAGTCTAACTTTTAAATGTTGTCACAGAAACCCACACACCTCTATTTAAACATTTCACAGTAGACTATTAAGAAGCAAACAAAAACTTTAAAAGTCACTTTTTCTGGGAGCATCCACCTAAAAGTCTATAAGCCACACACAATGAAACATTACATTACTTTAAGGAATGTACTTAATACCAAGCGCCCGGTCCTGTCCCTCACTCAGCCCAGGACTAGCTGGTGAGTATTACAGAGACTCCAGAATTAAAACTCCACTGGCACTGCACGGACCTACGATGTCTACATGTCAGTTTTTCTTTAAAATATAAGGGAAAAAAATCCATGGGCAGATTTATTCCACAAAAATAGGCTTCACTTAAGTAGTGTATTTAATTGGAATAGCTACTCTGAGAATAATACCCTTCACAAAGTAACTATCGATGTCCATTATGTTACACTACAAAGTATTTTCTATACCACTGGTAGTTCTACAAATTCAACTCTTGGTTCTTGGGAACTGGAAACACAATGTATCTCTGGGACAGCTCTGACCCAGACCAAAAGTGCTGATTTAACTCCAAATGAACTGAAATACAGTCATCATCTGAACATGGGGAGGAAGAGAAAAAGTTTCCTCCAACTTCCACCAGCACATTTTCTGAACAGGCCGTTTTTCTTGGGCATCTTCTCCCTATTCCTTCCTGCATCCCCTTCCCACATCTCAAGGAGCCTCCTCCGCTCTGGGGGCGAATGCCAAATTCTGCAGTAAAGCCTGCAAAGGGCCTTGGGCCCGAAGACTGGCTGGCTGCTCCGTCCACGGAGGACCCCCTTCATCGGGCATCTAGGCCCTAGGAGGAAGGCACTCAGTCCCTGTGCTCATGCAAATGACGGGAAGGCTTTCTGCAGGGCAACCCACAGGGCAGGCGTCTCTGGGTTCGGCACCGAGGCCACACCAAAGCCCCCCGCCCCCCGAGAACCACGGCGAGGGGCACCGTCTGCTCAACGTAGTAATAACTTTTCCCATCTCACACTCTGCAGACGACCAGGCCCCAAGAAAGCAGAGAGGAGCAGGTGCCAGAGGTCGGCCTTGGGTCCGGGGCCAGTGGCTCCCATCACCGCGAGCACAGCTCCCCACCGCCCCGGGGCTGTGGACGGGCCCCCAGAACCCGCACTGTTCTCCACCCCCCGGGGGAGCGCAGGAACCTTCTTCTGCCTGGGCCACCCCTTCCTGCAGGGTGGGAAATCACGCCTTGTGAGTCCCTGTGTTTCAATTAAACTCGCAGGCCGGAGGTCTGCCGTGCGGCGAGCGAACCGCCTCCGAAGTCCAAGTGTGCACGCCGGGCGCCTGGTCGCCGGGGCGACCGCACGTGGCCTCCGGGTCCCGGCGCACCGCAGGCCGCTGCCTCCGGCCGGCGCAGAAGTTTGGGGCCTGGGGGCGGACGGGCTCTGAGCTCCCAGCGGCCCCGAAGGGCGACGACCCCTTCCCCTCCCCCGGTGCGGGGATCGGGGGAGGGGGCGCGGGAGCCGGAGCGGCGGCCTTTTCCGGCTCTGCCCTCGGGGACCGCCCCCTCCTGCTCCACCCCGGCCCTAGCGCCACGTCAGCCGCGAGCGCCCGGCGCGTCCCACCTCCTGGCCCGGAAGACCCTCAGCCCCTCGCCGGGCGCCCCCAGGCCGCGGCCCCGCGCCCCCCGCGCGCATAGTGCGGGCCCGGGCCAGACCCGCACCCGCGGAGCCCGAGGCGGGCGGTGCGGCCAGTTACCAGGGCGCGAAGAACATGACGAAGTGCGCGGCGCTCTGGATGCCGTGCGTGAACATGTCGGCCGTGTACAGGTGCTTGGCGTGTGGGTCCTGCCCGTCCCCGCCGTCGGCCGCGGGGTCAACGTCCGCCGCCGACCCCGGCTCCTGGGCCCAGGCGCCCCCGCGCCCGCCGCCGGCGTCCAGCAGCAGCAGCAACAGCAGCAGCAGCAGAGGCGCGGCCGGCGCCAGGGCCCGGGGCCGCGGCGGGAGGAAGCCTCCGGCGCGCGCGGACATCACGGCTGGTTGGGCGCGCTCTCGCCGCGGCGGCCGGTAACCCCTCCGCGCCGCCCGCCCCCCGCCCCCCGCCCCCGGCCCCGGAGAGGCCCCGCCCACGCCCCGCCCCGCCCGCGCCCGCTCCCCGGCGGAGGCTGGGCCCGCGCGCGCCCGGAGAGCCTGGCTGGGAGCCCGCGGAAGGAGTGGGTCCGGGCCCCCGACAGCCTTCCGTGCCGGGCCTCCAGCACTTCCTGGGACGGCTTGGGTTACTCCCGCAGGGCGCTGCGCCTCCCCAAACCCAGGCTCTGCCCGCTCTGGCCTGGAGCGGGGCTGAGTGTTGGAGCGCCGGGAGGCCACTGAGGGGGATGTCAGCCTCGGTTCATCTCAACGTACACAAAGACCCCAGGATTTCAGGCAAAAGGAATAAAGAGCTGCTGTCAGCAGAATTCAGGAAACTGAGCAGAATTGGCGGGGTTTACACCTGAATGAGTCAAATTCTTGGCTGGACCTCAACTGTGATTCCGGGCCTGAGCTCAGGGACTGATGAAAACCCGCTTAACAAGAGAAACGCGTGCGGGTGTGCCCTGCCCTGCCTTACCTTGAGGGTGAGGAGAAAAGCTCCAAGCATCCTCTTAGACACTAATCCCGCAGGGCTCCTCCTCCAAAAACGCCTGGCTGGCGTCCTATGGCGCCCTAACTCCCCAATTGCATCGAGGCTATAAAGACACGCCTACTCGTGCTGCACTGCCTCCCGTGGAGACTGCGAGGCTCCCAGGTGTGAATCGTATGAATCGGGCACCTCACAATTCACATCTGCAGGCGCACTCCTGATTGCACGTGGTAGTTGAAGGTAAGGCCCCGCCCCAGGGGTCGGAAGGAGACTCATTGGGTTGCTTCCTGGCATCCTGCTTGGCCTTGATTTACCCTCAGTTTGGGAAACTCCAGGGAGTGACTGCTGACACAGCAGGGGAAGCGCCCAGTGATTCACCTGTCATTACACTGCTCCGGCCACTATGCACCCTTTAACCAAGGTTTGCCAAATACCAAGTCATCAGTTTCCCCTCAAAACCGATTCTCCCAACCAGTTACACTCAACACGTGGGAATCGTCTCCCAATTACTCCCTCCTTTCCCTCATCTCTGATAATTCAAGCCAACCACATTTCTTGCCAAATACCATTTCTTTCCACCATTCTCAGTGCTCATACCCTGATCAGACCTTAATCCTGGCCTGTGCAGTAGGCTTCTAAGGGCCTCTTTCATTCACGAGGCTGGAAAGTTAACTTTCCCAAAGCCTGCCTTTGACCATGATAGTTTGCTGTGAACACCCTCCCCCAGCCCCCATCTACAGGGTAAAACACAGTCTTCAGACTGCCGCTCAAGGCCCTTAGCTATGTGATTCCACCTGCTCTATCCTGTGAAACTCACCACTGGAAGCCCAGGGATCCTCTCCAAAAATCCAGTATCAGCCAGACTCCCATCCCAATGTGCCTCCAACCTCAGACCTCCCAACGCTTCCACCAAAGCGTTAGCACACATTCTTAGAGTATCAGCTACTTTCCTTATCTTAATACAAACATGGAACCACGGGAGCTCTCTCAAGCGTTAGAGGTTTGTCTTTCACACCTTGACTCCTCCGAGTTGGGAAGAAAAGCTGGGCTTCCTTGCTTGCATTGCTCCTTCCACACCCTTTCTCCTCCTTCCTCCAGCAAACCACCAGCTCCTTTTCCACGGATGCTATTGAACAGGGCACCCACCGCTCTTCCGGTTCCGGTCACCCACCCACTTCTAGCCTATAACTTCTTCCGGGTCGCTCCCCACTCCCCGTTCACTGAAGATTTTGGTTCCTGTCTCAGTATTCCTGGCAACCTCTATCCTGTTTTCATTCCCGGCAACCAGGTGAATGACCCATCTCACCCTATACTTAACACCTGGCCAGGGTCTCTCATCAGGCCTGAGAGGTGGTTGTTTCCCACTCTGTTTTCTTCAGCAGCCAGGTGGATGATCCATCTCTCTGTCCCCCAGTGACTCCCTCCCCAAGCGAAACCTCAGAACTCGTCATCACCTAAATCTGCACTGTCTCCAAAATCTGCATTAGCAATATCCCACTCTGCCCAACCCCTCTGGTACTTACAGTTCTCTCACTCAGTGTCCCCTCGTTCTCGATCCCGCCCCCCTTCTGCTCACAGGCTCCTGAGAAGCCACCCGGCTGCTTTGTTTTCCCCGCCTCCTGATTAGATCCCATAGATTCTGTCCTATACTTAACACCTGGCCAGGCTCTCTCGCAGGGACCCTGGCCAAGCCTGAGAGGTGGTTAAGTTTCCCACTCCGTGCAATACTTCCAGACCTCTACCCCTGCTGCTCCCCTGTCCGCCCTCCTTCAGTTGCCATTCCTCTCAGCTGTCAATACTTCTTGCAGAAAATTGAAGCCAAAAGCAGGAACTCCCTCATCTTTGCGCCACCAAATCTACACAGCCCTGCACGGGTCCCCTTCCCTTTTTCCCTCTAGTTACAAGAAGGAAGGAAGTCTCCCCACTCGGACCCAAGGCCAGTCCTCCGCAGCCTATCCATGTGGGCTGAGTGTTACCTTACAGGACAAACGAGACTTTGCAGCTGTAATTAATAAGGATCTTGAGGTGGGGAGGTTATTCTGGAATACCTAGGTTGGCCCTAAATGTAATCACAGGATAGAGGCAGAGGGAAATTTGACCAGAGCAGAGACAGATTTGAAGACAGAGGAGTAGATGATGTGACCAGAGCAGAAACAGATTCGAAGACCCTCCCCTGCTGGCTTTGAAGATGGAGGGAGCGGCGATGAACGAAGGAATCAGCTCTAGAAGCTGGAAAAAGCAAGAAACAGATTGTCCCCTAGAGCCTCCAGAGCGACCTTTGGCCCTACTGACAATTTGACTTTAGTCCAGTGACACTGATTTGGACTTCTGACCTCCAGGCTGTAAGAGGAGAAGCGTGTGTTGTTTTATGCCCCCAGGTTCATGGTAGTTTGTTAGAGCAGCCAAAAACCCGGCACCCACCCTCCTCACCTGCTCCAGGCTTTGCTCCCACGCAGTCTTCTCTCACCTGTGTTAATTACCAACCGCTCCATCTCTGTTGGATCATTCCCACCCACAGATAAACATACTTCAGTGTTCCCTAACTTAAAAATAGAAAACATCCCTCGCCCTCATGACCCCCAGCTACTATCCCAATTCCTTAGTTTTCCTTCATAGCAAAATCTTTCCAGAACTATACACACATCGCTGTAAGTTCATTTTTCAGCCCATGCCCCCCTGGCTTCCACACCCACCATACACCAAAGTCACCAAAGATGTCCACGCTGGCAAATCCGAGGAAGGCTACGCTCTCTCTTCTTACTGGGCTTCCTGGCAGCTTCAGGACAATCAGCACTGGCTGCATCTGGATCCACACCTGGACCAACACTTCTCTGCTGTACCTCCCACCCCATGCATCTCTCCTCAGGCCCCTCAGCTCAGCCCCAAGATGCTAGCTTCTCAGCCTCCAACCTGCTTGTCCTGTCCTCTCTCTCCACTCACTCCCTAGCTGATCTCATTCACAGCCCTGGCGAGACACACACCTGCAAGCTGATGACCCCAACATTTCTGTTATGAGCCGAGCCGGGACCTTCCTCTGAGCGCTCACTGTCTATTCGATCTCACCACCAGCCTATCTTACAGGCTGAGCCCAAACCCCACACGTGGGATTCCCCGCAATCCACTTGGCCTTCAGTTTCTCCATCTCAGAAAACGGTACTTCCCTGCTGTTGGCTCAAACCAGAAACCCAGTTTGCACACTTTGCTCCCCTTTTCCTATTGCTGGTCTCAGTCCCACTGCAGCCCCCAGATCACATCAGTGGGCTTGTCATTTCCATTTCTGAAACACAGCTCCAGTCAACGTCCCCCTCCCCACTACCCCATGTCCCTTATCTCATCTACGGGAGTCTCCGGACTGTTGGGTTCCAGAGTCCCTCCAATCTGTCCACACAGCTTCTACAAATGAATCATAGTACTCTTTCACTTAATTCCCTTCAGTGGCTTCCTTTTCTCTTAGAATAAAATCCCAACTCTTTGCTTCGGTTTTCAAGGGCCTTCAGGAAAGATGCCATCTCACCCAGTACCCCGTGCCCTCTGCTGCCTCGGATTCTAGCTGTTGGATTATTCCTAATCCCCTCCGACACTTCCTGCCTCTGCACTTGCAAGGCCCGAGCTTGGTCCCTCTCTCATCTTTTCCGGTGACTGGCCTCGTGGTGCACTCCGGTCTCTTGCCCCCAGATCACCTCCGGGGGGGACACCTCCAGGCCCACCCCGAGCACCCCCCTGGAGCCACTGCCCTCTGCTCACCGCACTCTCTCCACCACCTCCGAGTTTAGTTCCCACGTGGCCCTTTTCACAATCTGATGTCATTTTGTTGCAGATTTATGTGCTCACTTGGTTGACTGGCCCTCTTCTCCATCAGTGAGCTTTACAGCTATATCCGTCACGTTCACCACTCTCTCCCTGAAACCCACACGCCTGGCAAGTAGAGCCCATCTTTCTACCCATCTCTCTCTCCCAGGCTCCACTAAGACTAAATAACGTACTCTTTTCCAGACAGACTTCAAGCTGCTCCCTTTGCCTGGGCTGACTCTCCTCTTCTCTGAGCCCATCACAGGCCTGCCCTTCTTGCACGACCCAGCATCCCCGGCTGGCTGTGCTCGGTCCTTCCTCTGAATTCCCAGGCCCCGCTTGGAACATACATGCCACGTCAGAGGGCAGCAGCCAGGAGCGCCCCTACTTAGATTCCCACCTCTGAGCAGCCTGCCTTCTAGCTGAAGAATGCCTAAGAGTGGGGAAATTGAATTTTTATAACAACGAAGTAAATACAGTTCTCTCCAGGGAGACTTTTTTCAGGGGTTAGCCCTCACCTCCACTACGCTCTCCTAATATCTGTCCTTTCTCTCTGGACCCCCGAACAGAACGGTAACTATGTGTTTGTGTAGTTTTTTGTGTAGTGTCAGGTTTCCCCTCTAGTCTCTATGGGGTGAGATGTGGACACGATGTCTGGTGAAGACACTTAATACATGTTTGATGAATGAATGAACGAAAGCCCCATTTGTTTTCCCTCAGATGATAGCTTCCTTGAGAAAGAATCCTCACAATCGTAGCCTGGTCCCAAACAAATAAGACAACAGGCAGGGGCATCAGTGTTACCACCATTAACAAATAGTGTTGATACACTGCCCTCTTCCTGTAAATCTGCAGCCTTCCTAGAGCTCCACTGGGAGGAATTGCTGCTGACAGCGGAAAACTACAGTTTTTGTCTTCCACCTGCTGAGAGTGAAACGAACCCCCAATATGTTGCCACTTTGGGAAGAGGACCCCACAGAACATTCTCTTAGTATGGAAACTGAAATGCCACCATTTGAACCCCTTTAACAGGTGCATCCTGAGTTATTACTGGGCTACAAATGCTACTTTTAGGCAGGTACTGAAAGCACTGACATCCTCTTGTTCTAACTGTTGGTCAGAACATTCTGGAAGGTGCATCTAAAGAAGAAGAGAAACCGTAGTTTTCTCAAGGAGCTTTTGTGATGGTTCAAATGTGATTGTTGAGGAAGAGAGCGGAGCTGAAGGATTGCTCTCAACAGAGAAAGTCCAAAGAAAAAGACTGAAGGTCCTGGGCAAAGGGTGAGGCAAGTGAAAGTGAGAACGTTGGCTTTTTTTTTTTTTTTAATCGTTCCTTTTTAAATTAAAGTATGGTTGATTTACACTGTTTCAGGTGTACAGCAAAGTGACTCAGTTTCATATGTATATTTTCAGATTCGTTTCCATTTTAGGTTATTACAAGATACTGAATATAGTTCCCTGTGCCACACAGTATTGTTTATCTATTGATATTTTACATATAGTAGTTTGTATCTGCTAATCCCAAACTCCTAATTTATCCCTTCCTCCACCATTCTTTCCCCTTTGGTAACCATAGTTTGTTTTCTAAGTCTGTGAATCCATCTCTGTTCTTTAAATAAGTTCATTTTTATCATTTTTTTTTAGATACCACATATAAGTGATATCCTATGATATTTGTCTTTCTCTGTCTGACTTACTTCACCTAGTATGATAATCTCTAGGCCCATCCAGGTTGCTGCAGATGGCATGATTTCACTCTTTTTCATGGCTGAGTAGTATTCCACTATATAAATATACCATATTTCTATCCATTCATCTGCCAATGGACACTTAGGTTCCTTCTATTTCTTGGCTATTGTGAATGGTGCTGCAATGAACGTTGGGGTTCATGTACCTTTTCAAATTAGAGTTTTCATCTTTTCCGGATGTATGCCCAGGAGTGGGATTGCAGGATCCTAGGGTAGCTCTATTTTTAGTTTTTTGAGGAACCTCCATACTGTTCTCCATCGTGGTTGCACCAATTTACATTCCCACCAACAGTGCAGGTGGGTTCCCTTTCTCCACACCCTCCCCAGCATTTATTATTTGTAGACTTTTTGATGATGGCCGTTCTGACTGGTGGGAGAGAACACTGGCTTTCATCAGTGAGAAGTGTTTTCAGCAGGAACACAACATGCTCTGACTTCCTCTACACACAGCGTTGCTCTGAGAGCTGGGCTGAGGAATGGAAAGGGGGTGAGGGCGGACATACACAGACCAGCTAGGGAGCTGTTACGACAATCCCAGCTGGAGATGCTGGTGACTCACACCAGGGTGGAGGCCGGAGGGTGACGAGAAGTAGTCAGATTCTAGATCTGTTTTGGTGTAAATGCCAGGAGGATTTTCTGGTTGAGTAGGGGAGGGCTGTGAGAGAAAGACGGAAGTTGTGGATGACTTTGAGATTTTTAGACAAAGCAACTGGGAGGGTTGATGTGTCATTAACTTTAATGGGAAACAGGATTGGGAGGTCACTTAACAGTGAACACACTACATTGGAGAAGTCAGCAGATACATAGAATAGGCAGCCGGATATGCGGGTTCAGGGGAGAGATGGGGCCAGAGATAAAACTGAGAGTCATCAGCATGTAAGATGGTATTTACAGCCCTGAGATAGGATTAGTCACCATGGGAGCGAGTACAGAGAAGAGCAGAGGGTCGAGGGCTGAGCCCTGTGGCACCTCACTGTTAACCCAAGTGTCCCTCATCGGATGCATGGATACAGAAGATGTGGCGCATATACACAATGGAATATGACTCGGCCATAAAAAGGAACGAAATTGAGTTATTTGTAGTGAGGTGGATGGACCTAGAGTCTGTCATACAGAGTGAAGTAAGTCAGAAAGAGAAAGACAAATACCGTATGCTAACCCATATATATGGAATCTAAAAAAAAAAAAAAATGTCATGAAGAACCTAGGGGCAGGACGAGAATAAAGACACAGACCTACTAGAGCATGGACTTGAGGACATAGGGAGGGGGAAGGGTAAGTTGGACGAAGTGAGAGAGTGGCATGGACATATATACACTACCAAACGTAAGGTGGATAGCTAGTGGGAAGCAGCCCATAGCACAGGGAGATCAGCTCGGTGCTTTGTGACCGCCTAAATGGGTGGGATAGGGAGGGGTGGGAGGGAGGGAGACGCAAGAGGGAAGAGATAATGGGAACATATGTATATGTATAACTGATTCACTTTGTTATAAAGCAGAAACTAACACACCATTGTAAAGCAATTGTACTCCAATAAAGATGAAAAAAAAAAAAAAAAGAAGACCAGCCAATGAGGAGGAATAGAAAAAAGAGACAGACAAGGAGCGGCCAGGAAGGCAGGAGGGCTGCCTGCTAACTGTTGGCCTGAAGGCCAGGAGCAAACAGGAGGGGGCGAGCAGCTGTTTGGTATCTGCTGACTTGTCTTGGTTTGCCCTGGACCATCCCAGCTTATACTCCCGGACTGGGTTTAATCATTGCTACAACCCTATTCACCCTCAAATGTGCCCCAGTTTGGATGACAAGTGACAGGTCCTCCTACTGATAAGAGAATTCACACTTACCCCTGGATTTGGCAGTGTGTACGTTACCGGAGACCTTGATCGTGGTAGTTTGGGTGGAGGGGTGGCAGCAAAGGCTGGTTGGAGTGGCTTCGAGGGGGCAGGAAGGGAGGAAACGGGGACAATGGGTGCAAACAGCACGTTCCAAAACTTCTCTTGTAAAGAAAAGGAAAGGCACACACAGTAACTGGAGGGGAGAATGCGGCAAGAGGGTTTTGATTTTTTTAACCTGAAAGAAGAATCAGGGCTTCCCTGGTGGCGCAGTGGTTGGGAGTCCGCCTGCCGATGCAGGGGATGCGGGTTCGTGCCGCGGTCCGGGAGGATCCCACATGCCGCGGAGCGGCTGGGCCCGTGAGCCGTGGCCGCTGGGCCTGCGCTTCCGGAGCCTGTGCTCCGCAGCGGGAGAGGCCCCAACAGTGAGAGGCCCGCGTACTGCAAAAAATAATAATAAATAAATAAATAAATAAATAAATAAAAAGAAGAATCAGCCTGTTTCTAAGCTGATGGGGATGATCCAGAAAAGAAGGCAACATTGATGCTGTAGGAGAGAGAAGGGAGAATTTGGGGGGCAATGTCCCTGAGTGTGGGGGGATGTTACTAGGTGCACAGGAGGAGAGGTTGGCTGGCCCAAGGAGTACGAACCGTTGTCTGTAAGAAGAGAAGGGCTGCACAGGGGGTGAGCACTGATCTGGAGAGGTGCGTGGCTGTGGTTGGTGGTGAGAGCTTGTATCTGTTCTTTTTTTTTTTTTGGAGAGAATTAAGTTTTGTTTTATTTTATTCTTCTGTACAGCAGGTTCTTATTCGTTATCCATTTTATACATAGTAGTGTCTACCTGTCAATCCTAGTCTCCCAACGCATCCCACCACCGCCGTCCCTCCCCCCTCCCTTGTATCCGTTCTCTTCTTGTGGCTTCCATTTTGTCACCGTAACAGGAGCCAGTATCGTGAGCTGAGGCTGAAGATGGGGGAAGAAGTACTGGAGTTTGGAGAGGGAAGAGGAAGTCTGAGGTTCAGAAAAGCATGGGAGAGTGATGGACCAGCGCGGTTTGGCATGACTGCCTGCTGGCCTGGGGACCCACCTGAAGCCAATGGGACACCCCTGGGCTTCCTCCAGGTATGTTCCACTGTGCAGGGCAGCCACAGAGCAGACGAGGAGTTGGGTTTCGCCAAGGGAGGGAGCGAAGAAATGAGGCAGCAGAGTGAGAGCGTATGTAGGGGAGAAATGATAGTACTTGACTATGGAATTGAAGCAGGCTAAATTAATCAAACAGTTATCCTATGAAGTTGTAATAGTCGTGTCTACCTATAATGCACAAGTTGGTTACACCTTTGATAAGTTAATAAGTTCCAGTAGGTCACGTGTCAGTTTATCGGGAAGTCATATTCCACGCTTCCTGCCTGGATTGTCTTTCTAGTATCTTGGCTATTATGACCAGTTCCACGTATTCCCATCCAAACCACGTGCAACTCCTTTTGCCAAGATCATCTTGAGATAACAGGTTTAGTAAGTCACTTCTTTGCCCCCAAGAAAGAACAGCTCTATTATTTCTTATTACATCGAATCACAAATCCTCTGCATGGCTTTAATAGCTCCCTCTGCTTTCACAAACTTGTTTCTTATACTGTGTAACTCTGCTCCAGAAAGGCTGGTTTCCTGATTGCCCTGGCCAGATGTTGCTTGTGCTATGCTTTCTGAATGAAATGGTCTCTCTGCTTTTCAAAATTCTACCGCTGTATATGCTACACTGTGATAGTGGTAGGTACAAGAAAGGAGTGGGATTGGAGAAGGACTGGTGTGAGCTCTGTGTGTGTATACATATATACATAAGTATATGGTGTATATATATAATATTTTTCATCTGAATTTTTTTCAGTAAGCACGTTATAAAAAAGTTATATCACTTTTATAACTCTGTAATTGAAAAAAACTTTAAATTTAATTTTAACGAATGAAATTATTGCAATTTGACAGTAGGTATTTTAAATTTAAATAAGTACATGTATACCCCTTGACCCACAACAGGTTGAGGACCTTATCTTTGGGAGATAACTTCACAAGTTAATTGCAGCATTGTTTATAATAGAAAACTATCGGAAACAACCTAATATCCCTTAGGAGAGGACTGGGTTTTAAAAAATGGTATATTCAGACCATTTACAATATGCACAGCAGTTGCATTTTAGTGGGGAATGGTGCAGCCTCTGCGTCGGACTGCTTAAGTTTGAATTTCAGTTCTCGCCCTTCTGGCTATGTGATTTTGGATAATTTAAATGTCTGTACTTAAGTTTCTTCATCTGTTCAATGCGGACTATAATAATATCTACCTTATAGATTTGTTGAAAGAAAGTGATGAGTTATTACTTGTAAAGCACTTGTAAACCATGCCCGATTCCACCTCAGACGGGGAAAGCAGGAAGAAGTACCGCCTCACTCTAACAATGGGGGAAAAATCCAGAAAAATGGCAACATTTTAACTTTCATGAACTTATTAGAGAGCGGAGGCCACAGCACAAAAAAAGTATCCTTAAATGCAAGGAAAGTCAGGCCCCTCCAAGGAATAATGGGACACAAGTACTGACTCATCTACGGCAGGGCACAGGAGGAAGAGATGCTGGGACCATACACGTGAGTAAGAAGAATTCAGCTAGATTTTAAAATGAGTTGCATAGGGCCAAGTGTGGGCTAGCCGTAGAGTACAGAACCCCTGAGAGCACAAACACAGAGGGAGTTTGCACTCACATTCAGGGTCTTTTACAGGGACCTCCACTGAATGCTCACAAGAAAGATCGGGAGCAAAGCAGGAGACCAAGAGAAACTCCTTTGATTGTGTAGACCTTGAAAATGGGAGTGGCTGCTTTTGTAGGAAAGGCACAAAACTCTGATTGGACCCTAATCCCCTATTAAAAAACAAAAAAAAGTTTTAGTTTGCTGGGACACTGGTAAGCTGGGGCAGCTGGGGAAAAGTTAAAAAAAAAAAAAAGGAACATCCTTTACCCCTGGAGAAGGAGCAGGAAACAATTCTTGGTTCGGGACTGAATAGGAGTCTCCTACATCCAGGGCAGGGGCAGGAACTACCGCATACAAGACTCACCACAGATACGAGGCATTTTGGCTATCATGGGAAAAGGGGCGGGATCACTGTGAAAGCCCCACCCCTAAGACCCAGGCAGAGAGGATCAGCCTAAGACTGAAGCTGGACCAGGACAACCTTCCCTATCCCCACCACAGGGCTAGCAAGCACCAAGTGGTACGCAAGAACGGTCTACTTCTGGAAAGGGGGCAAGAGCATGAAGAGAGACCTCTCCCTCTTTGGCACAGGTACACAGGGAAGACTGGAAGTTGAGGGTAGAGCAGGAACATTGAGAAAGACCCTCTGGAACCCCAGCCCCTAAGCACAAGCTAATGCTAGAGAAATTGAAGCCAGTTTTCATGGAAGGGAACCATAACAAGAAAACTCAAACCCACTTCAACTCCTGAATGTATTTACTCAACACCCACACTAAAGGTCTAACCGAACAGGTATGCCCACTTACATGTGTAAATACTATTTACCTCAGGGCCGACTGGTCTATACATGATGTCTAACGTTCAATCAAAAATTAAAGACAGGGCTTCCCTGGTGGCGCAGTGGTTGAGAGTCCGCCTGCTGACGCAGGGGACATGGGTTCGTGCCCCGGTCCGGGAAGATCCCACATGCCGCGGAGCGGCTGGGCCCGTGAGCCATGGCTGCTGAGCCTGCGCATCCGGAGCCTGTGCTCCACAACGGGAGGGGCCACAACAGTGAGAGGCCCGCGTATCGCAAAAAAAATAAAAAATAAAATAAAATAAATTAAAGACATACACACAAAACAAAATTTAAAAAAAAACAAAGCAAAACCAAAGTCAAGAGACAAAGCAATCAACACAACCAGATTCAGAGGTAACCCGTGTATTGGAGCTATCAGACAAGGAATTTAAAATAACTATCATTCATATGTTAGACGCTTAGGGGAAAAAACCATATGATGTGCATAAAGAGATGGGAAACTTCAGCAGAGAAGTGGGAGTGAGAAGAGAAAGTTAAAAGGAAATATTAGGGGAAAGAAAACTGTGGTACTGTAGATGAAAAATGCCTTCAACAGGCTCTTCAGCAGACTTGAGAGCTGAGAAAAGAATCAATAAACTTGAAAATCGGTTAATAGAAATTACCCAAACTGAAACACAAAAAGAAAACAAAAGAGTGAAAAACAAAACATAACAGAGCTTCGAGAGCTGGAAAAAGAAGTAACAATGGGTAATTAGTTTCCCAGAAGAAGAGGAGAGAGATAACTATGCAGAAAAAAATATTTTAAATGAAATTTTCAAAATGAATGAAATACATTAAACCACAGATCCAGAGAACCCTAGCATGAAAATATGAAACAAACAAACAACAGCTACAAATACACCCAGACACATCATATTTAATGGGCAGTTAAAAAACTACATGCATCGTATTGTCCCATTTGTAAAACCCAAATGGATTTGTTTTCTGGAAAAATGATCATCAGAACATTTATAATGATTATTTGTGTATAATGGCAGCTCAGGAGAGTTTTTGTGCCTGCTCTGTACTTTATATTTTCTTTGATTTGAAGATAAGTAATAAAGCTATTTTCACTGACAGAAATCTGCCTACTTTTGTGAATAGGGGAGTTTATCCCACTTACATTTATTTTCACAAAGAATATGTTCTGATTTTTTTTCTTTTACATTATGTGAATTTTTGCCCTCTGTTTAAAGCTAGTTTATAGTTTGGGTATCATTTGTCTTTAACGTATTTAATATATATATATATTATATATACATACACACATACACACACACATACATATACATACTTGTTTACCAATTCCAAGGATAAAACATCCCAAAAGTTAAGAATTTTATTGAATGTTGCTGAACCATATGATGCAACAGGCTTTTTATTTTCTGTCACCTATTCTCTTTCCCTATTTATATTAGATTTTAGACATTTATTTTCAGGTTATTATTTTATGTTATATAAATGTATAGGTAGACTTTCAATATACGCTTATTAAGATTTGATTCTATGGTACTTAATTTAAATGTTCACTGTGGTCCTCAACTGTGATTCACTATTGGGGGAGGGGGTGCAATTTACATTTTGATTAATTACTTGGTTTACTAGAGCAGTACTTCTGGAACTTTAATGTGCATATAAATTACATGGAGATCTTGTTAAAATGCAGATTCTGATTCAGAAGGTCTGATGTGGGGCCTGAGAAGAGCTTCTGCTTCCCAGCAAGGTCCCAGATGATACAATGCTGCTGTGAGCCACACTTTGAGTAGCAAGGGGCTGCACATGGACTGTAAGTTTATGAGCCCTTGAATCTCTGAAAATGTTTTTTCCTGTTCTTGACAGGTGAAAGACAGATTGGCTACATAAGGAATTTGGGGTCACAAAGTTTCTCCCTCAAAACTCTAGACATTGACTGCGTCATTGATTTTAGCATCATATTATTAAAAAAAAATCCTGAGGCCAGTTTGTATTTCTTTTTTTCTGTTTCTTTCTTTCTTTCTTTCTTATCTTTCTTTCTCTTCCTTCCTTCCTTTTTTTTTTTCCTTTTTGTGTATACCTTCTTTCATGGCATTAATAGGGTTCTTTACTTTTACATAAATTTCAGAACTTTCACCGGGGTATGTTAAGTGTTTGAATCTCTTCATTTTGCCTAGTACCCAGTGGGCCATTTTAATTGGGAGATTTCAGTCTTTAGGAAGTTTTATATATGTTCAAATATTGTTTTTCTTCCATCTGTTCTTGGTATCATCTTCAGAAATACAGTTTTCCACATGTTGGATCTCCATGTATGACCATGAAATCCCCCCAACTTTTTCCTCTCTTTTCTTGCATTATATATACATATATTTTTTCTGGCTTGCCTTCTGTATCACTGAAATAATTTTTGGCAGGGTCGAGTCTGCTCTTTACTGCTTCTAATGCGTTTTGAAACACTGCTGTTATCTGCTTAGTTTTAAATCATTTCTTCACACCTCATTTATTTCCCTTTAAGTGCTGCTTGCATCTCAGCATTATCTTCCACTGTCACATCATTTTACAGTTTATCTAATTTTATGCGGAGCATTTTTTAATATTATTGAGAGTAAAGAGCAGATGGTATCTGAAATTCATTGGGGTTTTTTGCCACAAATATTTTCTAGAAATGTACACTTTCTCTGAATCTTCCTGGTAGGATTTCCTGATAAAGAATCTTTTCACAGACACCACATTGGTTTTATTCTTGCTTACTGATTGTTGCTAATCCAGTGATCCAGTCTGAGGGTAGCAAAGAGCCACACGCTATGCTGACGAGGGAGTCTGGTCTCTGTAATTCCTCCTTTATCTATAGAGAAGCCACTTCGCCTGGCCGCAGGCTTATGGCTGGAACTCCTATGAAATTCTGCCTCTTCAGCCCAATTTTTCTAAACAGCTGTTACTGTGTCAGCAAAGGTTGGCCACCATCCTGGGATGCTGCCAGCAGCCTCTTGTTCAAGGAAGTGGTCCTTTCCCCACCGGGGTCTCCAGCCCAATTTCACCAGGCTGCTTATCACTACAATTACAATCACCTTTGCACTTCGGGCAACTTCCTCTCCAGAGCAGGGAACCACAGCTCTCCACTAATGACAGCAGCCTAGATCTCTGAGTCCTGCACTGACACTGTCAGTGGGGAAGCCCCACAGTCCACACACCCACGGCCTTCACAGGGCGCTTTCCAGGTTAGTCTCACAGCCCACCCTCCCCTCCAGAGCTCAGCCCTCCAAGCCCAGTGACTCCTGGGGGCCAGCACTTTACCCACTTACTCCCCAGAAGGCCATGCCATACCTTCAGGAGGGGTTTATTTCTGCCATTTTGATGATTTGATTCCTTAGCTTTCTGTATAAATGGATGCTTTCCCCAATTATATACTTCTTAGATTATTTCTTTAGGAACTGGTGGCGGATGAGTGTTTAGAAATAAATTGTATCCAAAAGCCAGGCCTCTTTATCTGCAAGTCCCTGTCGTAGTCCATTCAGGCTGCTACGACAGAGTACCGGAGCCTGGGTGGCTTATAAGCAAGAGAAATTTATTTCTCCCAGTTCTGGAGGCTGGTAAGTTCAAAACCAAAGTGTCAGTAGATTTGGTGTCCTGTGAGGAGTGCCTGCTTCCTGGTTCATAGACAACTGTCTTTTCCATGTGTTCTCACATGGCAGAAGGGGGAAGGGAGCTCTCTGGGGTCTCTTTTATAAGGGCACAAATCCCATTCATGAGGGCTCCACCCTCATGACCTAATCAGAACCCAAGGGCCTCACCTGGTAGCAGCATTGCATTGGGAGTTAGGCTCTCAACAAATGAAATTTGGGGAGATATGAATACTCAGTCTATAGCAATCTGGGACTTTTTTTTTTTTTTTTTGCGGTATGCGGGCCTCTTACTGTTGTGGCCTCTCCCGTTGTGGAGCACAGGCTCCGGACACGCAGGCTCAGCGGCCATGGCTCATGGGCCCAGCCGCTCCGCGGCATGTGGGATCCTCCCGGACTGGGGCACAAACCCGTGTCTCCTGCATCGGCAGGCGGGCTCTCAACCACTGCGTCACCAGGGAAGCCCAGGGACTTTTTTTTTTTAATGAGAGCATAATTACTTTAGGTGTAGCGATTATAGCAGGGCTTTCTTCCCCTTCTTTTGCTTTTAAACAACATGGTTTTCCTAAAAAGCACTTTTTAAACTTGAAAAATTATAACTTTCATTCCCTTTTTGCATCATAGATAAATAGACTGTAAATTAGACACTGCCTTCATGATTAAAGAGAATCTATTCATGAATTTGTTTCCTTTGAATTGAGAAGTTCAAATGAAAGTTAATGCCCTCGCTGTCCAATGAGAGATTCCTCAGCCTTTATTGTATTTTATTTTATGAACAGCTGATTTAGAAATATTGTTAACATTTATTATATGTATGCCAATTCAGAGTGAATTAACACCCATCTGTGAAAAAACAACAAAACCTCTCAGTGCTGGTGCCTTCAAGTGTCTAAAGAATTAGCATCAGTTTATTCCTCTTTAAAGAATGATGCCTCATTCAGCATACCTATTTCATTTAATAAGCAGGTCCAAATTTCCTTTGTTTGACTCAAAATTTCTGACACTTAAGGCAATGAAATTAATTTTAAAGTTGTTTATAAACACTTGTGTTAACAAGTACATTTTCATCTACTTCTTTTAAAATTTTTAGTAAAATTATATCTCCATAGAAATAAAAATCTCCTTTTAAAGAATTTTAGTCCAAATTTAATTTCTTCTAGTTATGTCATTATCTTCTATTTTTTAATTCTTTTTTTAAATCCATGTGTGTAAAGAAGACCAAAGTTTAAGACACTTTAATAACTGATTCCATTAAGGCAACAAAATCAGGTCTTCAGTCTCCATGCTTACAAATAATGGGAGAACCGTGAACCTTTTGAGCAACACCAAAAACCAGGTCTTGAATATCTAGTATTTAGTCAGTTGTGCCTTCTTGCTCAACTTTACTAAACATGGAAGAATCTACAGCCCCACACAAGTAGGTCAGACATAATATAAAATAAACCAAATGTATTTCATGATGGGCAAACCCCAGTGATGTAACTGTAACTTCTCTGCTCCATTAAAACTCCCTTTGCATTTTTCATTAACATAGTGGTGTTATTCCTGTTCTTCCAGCCAAATCCCAACAGCCACAGCAGCATCCTTTCCTATCAACGAAGACACCGGGCATCTTGGGGGCGTTGTCCTGCTACGTGCAGTTGGGCAGCTCCCGTCAGCAGGGTAGCTGCTCACATCTGTCATGGAGCCTGGAATTTCTGAGTTAGGGGGCTGTCTGCCAAAGACTTCCTGGCAAAGTGTTTTGTCTGCAAAACAGACACAATAGCAAGGGACTCATATGGATTTTTAAGAAATGCCCTACACCCTTCTTGTTTTGGAAGAAGTGAAGGAAGAAATCCACTCTTTTCTCAGAAGAAAGTGTTTCCAAAGCAGCTCTAAATTTGGTCCCCATATAAGACAATAGCTGTTTTTGTAAATGCAAAAAAAAGGCCTAGTGACAGGACTTGACACTAGAGCTCTAAAGCTAAGTCCAAATGGGGCTGTCTTGGAGGTCCTTGAGGTGTCCTTCCTAGTTACACCACTGCCATCCCATCCTGTCCGGCCAGTAAGCGTGCCTGGGTTTAGCTGGTGAGAGACACAGACTCTAAGGTGCCGTTTGTTATCTATGGGCTGAATCTGCCCCCCTCCGCTTCATATGTCGAAGTCCTAACACCTTGGAATGTGACCGTATTTAAGTTAATGAGAACTTTAAAGAGGTAATTAAGTTAAAAGAGGTCATATGGATTGGCCTTGATCTAATATAATTGGCGTCCTTATAAGATGAAGAGATTAGGACAGATGCACACAGAGGATAGACCATGTGAGGACACAGGGAGAAGACAACCGTCTGCAAACCAGGGAGAGACGCCTCAGAAGACACCAACACTGCTGGCACCTTGATCTTGGACTTCCAGCCTCCAGAACTACGAGAAAACAAAATTCTGTGGTTTAAGCCCCGCGGTCTGTGGTCCTTTGCTGTGGCGGCCTGAGCAGAGTCAAACACCATCCAAGTCTTCCCTTCACTGGGTGAGACTGAGTCTCAGAATATCCTTCTGTTTCGGAAGGAGACCTGCATCCTGGGAACAGTGCCAGCTGCCTAGATGGCTTCTGCCCCTTGGACCACAGCTCTTTAAGGAGCCATCTCTTCTCTGGTGTCACAGTGAACTCCCTTTTCTGATCTTCCTCTCCGTGCTTCTTAACAGCAAAATATGAGACCAGTGAGAGGTAAACCCAGCAAAGCCACTAAGAAAGCTCCAGCCGCGGTGCCGGCTGTCTGGGAAGGGGGACAGCCTGCGGCCCCCACCCCTGCTCACAGCCCGCTCCATCTGTGCCTGTACAGGCATGGCCCAGGGCTCTCAGGAGAAGCCCTTTCCCCACAAAGTATTGTAAATGGGGAAGAACAAATCTGACTCCGTACTGGATCTGTTTCTTTTACTTGGACATTTGTATTCTATTGCTTTTGCTACAAGTTAATCACTAAAGGGATGTTGCCTATAACTTAAGATATACATAGTGGCCCATCTCCTGGAACCCTCCCAGGCTCGGGCCTCCCATGCCTGAGCATTACGCTAGAATACCTTCGTTTAGCCCTGATCAGGTCCACCTGTGAGTGGCTGCAGGAAAGAAGAAATTGCCACATACCCTCCGGAGTCTGGCTGGAGCCAGGACGTATCTGCAACAACTGACCACCTTTCTTACTTTACTTCCTTGCTTCCCCGCTCTTTGTTATTTAAAAGAAACTAGCATCAAACCTGGGCAAGGTGGTTCTTTGGAACACTAGTCTGACATCGTCTCAGTCTGCTGGCTTCTGAATGAAGTCGCCATTCCTGGCCCCCAAAACTCGTGTCTCGAGGTATTGGCCTGTCGTGCGGCAAGCAGTCTGAGCTTGGACTCGGTAACAGTATGGGTGAAGCCGCTGCTTCCATGTAACCACGGAGCAGGCATTGGCGGTGAGGTAGACAGCTTTTGCTATCAATGGAATATGGGACGCGAACCTTCCTTTGGTTCACATTTCAATTCACATTCAGCCGTTTCTAATCCTCTCCCATCCATCAACGTAACAGCTGGTCGGCTGAAGCTGATTTCCAACACCAGGAACCTCTTTTGCTTTGCACAGCTGGGTGACAACATCCGATCCCTGTATGTTTGTTCTACCTACCTGGTGAGTTTGAGAGTACATGTGCGATTGTGCTGTTAGCCTTCTGCTAACTATTCCTGCTATCTCGCTAATCACAGGGACTTTTCAGTGAGGCTGCCAGAACTCAAACATGCCACGTATAGACCGAAGTTGTCAAAGGTCAGAAAGAGGGTGCTTCCTGCCTGCTAACTCTGCAGCTGCTCCCCTGTGTTTGAAGGAATGCTGGACACATTTTTCTATGCTCAAATTCTCTTCCATTAAAGGACACACACCTTTACATGTGATTCTGGAAATGCTATTCTATCCATATTATGGAGCTGTATATGCTGTAATCATAAAAGTGGAAAGAAATCAAAAGGGTACAATTTCAAAGGAACAAATGGCACCAGAACCACAAGGCACCTGGACACAAATGAGGCTTTGGGGGGAAAAAATTTCCTGTTCTCCCATTTATTCACTTTCAGGGCTTGGTCTCGTGCATTTAGGATTCAGTGGTAAAACTGATTTTAATTATGTTTTAATCCAACTTATTCTAAAAATTGTTTTGAAAGCTCTTTGGATTTCAAACAATAAAACAGAACAATGAAGGGTTGTGGACCTATATTCAAAGAGAAAAGCAAATAACTTACCTATATTCAAAGAGAAGTTACAAATAACTTCTTTTACATTAAATTTCCTTAACTAATAAAATATTCCTTCACTATCCACTACTTTTTTTGCATGGCTTTACAACCGATGTGTTTTAATATCAACCACCAAAGGGGGAAAAGGAAGGGGGCTTTAACATTACCGTTTCAGGTAACGAATTTGGGAACACCAGATCTGGGTGAGACAGCCTCCATGCAACAGCGCCCCCTCTGGTTCAGAAGACTCTTCACTACTGCTCGCCCTAATTCTAAAGGAGTGGTAGCCCTTAAAGTGCATCTCAGAACCCTGGGGAATATTTTGGGAATGCTCATTCCTTAGGGCCTCTTAGATCTCACAGAAAGGTGTCAACAACACAATGTATTACTTAGAAAGAAAAAGGAATGAAAATGTCAGGACCTAAGACAGTTCTCTCTCAACCTCCCCCAGGCAGTCTGGACCCCTCCTTCCCCCGCAGGGTTCCCGGACCCTCACCCATGTCTGCTCTCTGACTATAGTCCTGTTACAGCATTGATTTCAATGTAATTTGCATTAACTTTAAGTGGAAATACATTCCCCACTATAATTCAAATTCCTTGGGGGCAGCAATCACTTCTTGTTAATCTTGATATTCTCCTCAAAGTACCAATTCAATAAGTGTCTGCTGTATTGAATGATGCCCTCAGAAAAGTTACCAGACCTGAGGTCCTTGCATTTATCCTGACTAAAGCTCTAGAAAGAGCCACTGGAGTATTTGTTTTATTCATGAGTTTAATATGCACATTCAGGTACACGATTCCTTATATGAAACCTCTGGCGTCAAGATATATCAGAATTTTTCAGATCGTCAAAAGTTAAAATGGTTCTTGACAAGGGATTAATTTCCAAACTATACAAACTGCTCAATATCGAAAAAACAAACAACCCAATCAAAAAATGGGCAGAAGATCTAAATAGACATTTCTCCAAAGAAGACATACAGATGGCCAATAGGCACATGAAAAAATGCTAAACATCACTAATTACTAGAGAAATGCAAATCGAAACTACAATGAGGTATCACCTCACACCA